ATGATGATGGGGCGAAGCGACGCGCCTCCGAAGTTGGCTGGGAGACGGAACTTCTCTCTCCTTGGAACTAGTCGTTTAACCCACCCCCACCAGGGCCTCTCTCCGTAGAGAGATTTGTCCAGAAATTGGTGAAAGAGGGAAGAGAAACTTAAAGGTTAATAAGCGTTCATGTCTCAGACTTGGATCTGCGAAATTGTCTCCTGAAATTTCATCACCTTGATTTTGAGATAGGTAGGAGACTTAGTTGAGATCTGACCGTGTAACTAATGTAAGTAGGAGATGTAGCTGAGATCTGAGGTAGTAACTTGTGAAAAGTTCACATTCCATACTACGTGCAAAGGAAGAAAAGAACCCCACGAGTACTTCGTGTTTCGCATGGATGTCTTTTATACTTAAGGCGAAGCCAGAAGATGCGTGTTGATACTGAGCTAGATGGAGAAACCGAGATACAGGAACTCTCCGGGACCGAGTTGGATTGGAACCCAATCTGTAGATTTTCTGAAAGCCCCATCAAGGAACAGCTTTCCTTAAAAAGCTGTTTTTGTTAGTGAAGTAGGATTATTTAAGGCATACCCAGAATTTGAACCTGAAGTTGGCATATGCTGTGACTACACAAAAAAGAGGGAGGAGATAAATTTGAGATAAACAAGGCTGAAAAAATACTAGAGTTTAAAAATCTGTAGTCTACTAAATTTGGTTATTCCAGTTAATACGGGAGAAATAGGTAACTTGGCTTCTTAACCGAAGGATTGCTGAAGCAATGACTTACTGTGATGTTGATCATACTGTTCTACATTGTCTTCCCTAGTTTTAATATCTTATAAACTTTAATATAATGAAATATGTGATAATATCAACATCTTTTTTTGTTGTTAAAGTCAGATTTGGTAAAATACAAAGGTTTTTAAATGAGGAAAGTAAATTGCAATGCAGTACTGACAATTCTAACAGCACTATGTTTGAGATGATAGAGCAGATCTTTTTTTTTTCTTATTCTGCCTACTTGGCAGTTTCACTAGTGTGTGGTTTGTTTTTTGTTTTTTTAAAAAGATGCTTCGAAATAAGTTAATTCTTTTGTGTGATTGAGATACATGCAAAGGGGATAATTTGTATTTTCTGGAAATCATAGTTGGATAAGCCATAGTCTGAAAGGTAGTACATTCAGTTCATTATATAAATATCATTCACTCTGTTACTCCCACCATTAACCATAAAAGCTTTTTAAACAGTTGGTAAGCAAGTAGCATAGTTGTGAAGAACTTATTTTTACTTTGTGAACACCCCACACCCAGGGCACCTAGTTTTCAATAAATGCAAATAATGTATTGAAAGGCAGTGCCTCTGCAGAGCTGATTTTTAGACAAGGGGGAAAGTAAAAAGCTTAGAGGCATCTAGTTTCTAGATAATAAAGCCCACTATAATCCATTTGTTTATCCAGACATTAATTGTAATTACCCTTGGAGTTCATTTCTGGACCATTTGACTTAAACTCTTGGCAAACATCTTTCTAACTTCTTGAGCTGTTGTTTCCAGTAGTGAAGAACCCTGTGAACAGCGGATTCACATTTTGAATTGTGAATCTCTGGGAAATTAAGTTGTTTTCAGAATGGCACCAGCAGAGTTTCAGTTTAATCTGTAATAAATAATTTGTTAAAAATTCCTGTGTCATTTGATGTTTCAGGGCAGCAATTTTTTTCTGTTTCCTTAATGTTGGTCTCACAGCCTTTTTCCCACATCCCCAGCCCTATTTTGTATTTAATGTGGAGACAAAGCCTCACTGAGTTGCTTAGTGCCTAACCATTGCTGAGGCTAGCTTTGAACTCGAAACACTCTTTCCTACCTCACCCTCCGAGCAACTGGGATTACAGGCGAGTGCCACCAAAAAATGTTCTGCATTTTTTTTTTCTTATTGACAAAACGGCCTTTTTTTTTTTTTAAACGGCTTCTTAAAATGCCTCAAGAAACCCTGAATAAATGTGGGTATCTTTTAAATAGTAGCCCTGTGAAAAAGAATTGTTTGATAGGTACCTCAATAGTGAGCAGGCCCACTAGATTGTGCTTCTTTTGAGTTAACTTAATGGCTTCATTAATGTAATTGAAATTTTTTAGTATACCAGTTTACAAAGTTTTACCGTTTTTCTGAATTATTAATTTGTGGTACTGTATATAATGTTCATTTGTTTTTTTAAAGATGATAAGGAACTCAAATTAGATACCAGTTCATTGATTTCATACATTTCTTCTCCTTTCCCCACCCCCAGAAGAAATCTGTGAAAGACAGAACAGCTGTGCTTCCTGTGTAAATGTTAGCATTAACAATACCACCTGCTCTTGGATAGAATGTAAAGAAGGTAAGAAAATTGGTGGGGGGTGGGGAGTTGTTGCTGTCATTTTGAGAATGCAAAATTGTTTTTGTTATATAACATTTTTAAAACCACTACAGTATATTCTTGAATATTTGAAGATCCTGTAGATCATTTATTATAATGTGTACTATTTATTTAGCAAATCCAATACTTGAAAATGCCAGTTGCTTAACACTCCTCTGAAAATCTCTTGTTTTCCATACCCCCGTAGATTTCTTCAACTTGATAATTAAAGCTCAATAGCTTTTAAAGGAAGAGAGATTTTAGGTCTTTGTATATGGTGCCTATTTATGCTGGAATTAGCTGTGAAAATTTTGTAATTTTCTTTGAAGCCTGAGATGTATCTGTGTATGTCCTGCAAGGTGACTATAAAGAGACCTTATGAAACTTTGTTGGATGCTTAGATATGAGAGAGTAATAGAGAGTTGATTGTTTCTTGTTCTCTTAAGTTAACTTTATGAACATTTGTGGAATAAAGAGCTAGGTAGCAGTACCTTGAAATGTGGATAAAATTTTTGCTAGAATCATGGATTTATCCCATTAATTATTTATTTTATTTTTTAGTATAAATGTGGTTGCCATTTATTGTGTGTGGGGGTACTGGGGATTGAAATCAGCATCACATGACCACTGAGCCATATCCCCAGTCCTATTTTGTATTTTATGTGGAGACAGGGCCTCACTGAGTTGCTTAGTGCCTAACCATTGCTGAGGCTGACTTTGAACTTGAAACCCTCTTTCCTGTCTCACCTCTGAGCAGCTGGGATTACAGGCAAGTGCCACTGGACCAGCTTGCATATTTTTATCTTATCGACAAAACAGCCATTTTCTTTTTTTTTTAATGAAAGATCGCATGTTACGTTGCTTTATTCTTCAGTGGAAATTTCATAGTTGAAGAATTTATGTCACATAAAGTTCAAAAAGCTATCTTAAACTAAGGTATTGATTTGGGGCTAAATTAACTTTTTTGTTACGTAAATCACTTTAGATTATAACATTAAATTCAAGGTTGTACCTGCTCTCTGTGTGTATGTGACACAGAGAGAAAGAGAAATGCTAGGAATTGAACCCAGGGCCTAGAACGTACTAATACGCTCTGATATGCTCTATCACTAAGCTATATCCCCAACATTTAAAAAAAAAATCTATTTTGAGACAGGATCTGGCTAAGTTGCTGAAGCTAGGCCCTGATTTACAATCTTTCTGCATCAGCCTTCCAAGTGGGATTATAGGCATTCACAGTGCAATCAGCCCCCTGTTGCTCCAAGTCTGTCGATACAGGAAAGCTATGTTAGGGAGTACAGAAGTGGGGCCGGGATTGTAGCTCAGTGGTAGATAGAGTGCTTGCCTCCCAAGTGTGAGACCCTGGGTTCAATCCTCAGCACCACATAAAAATGAATAAGCAAAAATAAAAATATTGTGTCCACCTACAATTAAAAAAATATTTTTAAAAAAAGTATAGAAGGGGCTGGGGATGTAACTCACTAAAAGAGCACTTGTCTAGCTTGTCTTGGGCAGGGCCCTTGTTTCAATCTCCAGTACCAGAGAAAGACATTACAAAGGAGTAAAGTGGTGGAACAGAGGTTCCCTTGCTGCTATGGAGCACCTCCTGTTTACTTAATCCTTTATTAAAAGACCTTGACAACGTCTTACCAACTCCATCCTCTTTCGTAGATTTCTGACTGTCTCTATTGATTGTGTAGTAGTTTGTATCACAATTCTGAGATCTAATTGTTTCAGATTTATCTGTATACTCCTGAAGATTTTTAAAAAGGGTGAAATTTGGAGGGATCCTGTGTCGTATCTCTAAGAAAATTAGAAATGGAAAATAGTATTTATTAGTCTGTGGACTTTTAAAGTATTTATGTCAGGATTTTGATTTCTTACGGAGCTTAGTAGCAAATTCAAAGATGTGAGTAACTGGTGCTTTTTGTCTCTTTTTTCCATAGCAAATAAGAGCTACTGTTCATATAACCCAACAGTTAGTAATTGTAGCGTGGGGAACAGCACTGATTTCTGTTCTGGTAAGTCTTCACGTTGTCTGCTGGGGATAATGGCCACAGCGGGATAAATAATTATCTCAAAGCCTTGTTTCAATGTTTTGTTAGCATTGCTATAATTCTAATATTAGAAATTTGGTTATAAATGGCATATTCATATTGATTGATGAAATGGTACTTTGAAGCTTTAATGACATAACTATACTTTGGAGTGATATAAGTGTATAGATATTTTTACTCTTTTTCTTTTGTCCCCTCTCCCCTGGAATTCACTGAAGTTTAGCCACCCCATCTTTATTTGTATTTTGTAGGCTCTAGTAATGTCACATTTTAGTCTCCAGCATAGTTTGTATTATGATTAAATAAACTTCTGTGTTCATCTTTTTACAGTTTTACTTTGAAGAACTTGATTTTTCTTTGCCCTGCAAATCATTAAAATTCGTAGTTGAAACAGCTGTTTGTTTTGGGGTTTTGTTTTTTTTTTTTTTTTTGTATCAGGGGCACTCTGTCATGGAGCCACTCAACCATTGAGCCACAATCTCTAGCCCTATTTTATATTTTATTTAGAGACAGGGTCTCACTAAGTTGCTTAGCAGCTTACTTTTTGCTGAGGCTGGCTTTGAACTTACTATCTTTGTGCCTCAGCCTCCTAGCTGCTAGGATTACAGTTGTGCACCACAGTGCCCAACTGAAACAGCTGTTCTTTTAAAAAGAGTATAAATTAATGGGAAAGATTCCTAATTTGGCACATAGATAATTAATTTTGTGGAGTGTGTCAGTAACCTTCACAGACAGTCTTTGACAGGATTTCCCCATCACAACATGAATTTTATAACTGGGGCTTTCATTAGCATTAGGTGTGTTTTACTCTGTAAAATGTAGATTAGGTGGGATGCGCACATACATTTTAATAATTATTTTAATGTGTATTAGAAAAAACGAATTGTCAAGCCTTTGATTTCATAAACTGCTTGGAGACAAGATTAAATAAAGTATTTTTTTTTCTTAAGTAAAATATTTTTTAAACAATCAATTTAAAGAAAAATTGAAAAGGTAACATTTATTTGATAATGTAGTAGTTAGAACTATGTTTTGCTCTCTGGGACATAATCCCATCAAATTATAGTGGTTTAAGCAGGGACAAATTTTTTTCTCTGATGTAAAGGAAGTCTGGACTAGAGTGCAGTTAGAGGTCTAGAGTGACAGCCATTAGGGACCCACATTCATTTTAGTTTTCACTCTGTCATTCCTCAAGGTCAGTGCTCATATTCTAGCTATCATGTTAATTTTTCTGCTACCAGAAAAGGGGAAGGAAAATGAGAGCCTGTATCTACCTTAATTAAAGGTGCTTGGTAGAAGTTGGTTACTTAGTGGCAGGAGAGGCTAAGAAATGGTGGTTCTATTTGTAAAGAAGAGGATAGTGGTATTAGGCGGGGGAAATGGTCATTCTTTTCTAGTTGTATTTATATTGTAAAAACATATTTAAATTGCAGATTGTAAAATTGTGTTAAGATTATAATATTTTAGACAACTTTGAAGTATATTGTTTTTTATTTTTATAGTGCCTACTACGACTCCAGTGCCAACTAATTCTACAGGTAATTCAAGATGATTGATTCTTTTCTGACTTCATCTTTCAGGTTTTTTAAACTCTCTTGATGGGTAACTTTTTAATAATTAAATACCTAAAAGTTGTTAGTATAATTTTAAAGATTTATTTAGTGTTGGACCATAATAACTACATAAATATGTACTGTTTGTGACAGTAACATATTGCTCCAGTGTTCTACATACAGTGAATCTTATTAGATTTGCTATCCATACATTTTATGGATGTTGTAGATATCTTGAAAAATACAGGAATGCAAAGGAAGTTTAAATCTCCACAGTCATCCAGAGATACACCAGAAAATTTTCAGTGATTAATTTCTTCCTATCTTTTCTGTGTGTTTGTTTAAGTAAATATACTTGTTATGAAGTGGATGGTATGCTCATATACTTGCAATATAAGCACAGGAAGGAAAATAAGAGGAGACAATTTTCCCCCAAAGCACTTGGGTTCATTTAATTTCTCCTATGAATCTGCTCTTAATGTAGTTTCTTTGCAGCTTGCTTCACCCTGGGTCCTCCTGTGAACTACCATGGATGGGCTCTTGTTTTATCTGTCTTTGGTTCTTTAGGCTAGGAGGAGGCCAGAGTTTGCTTACAGAAAATAGCCATCAGTTGGTGCTTACTAATTGAAAATCCTTAGGAGGTCTCTTTCCGTGGTTTTGTGTATATTGCTTCTGCTAAAGGGAGCAAGAGGTAAATTATGAGATAGTTAAGGAAACAGTGCTGCAAAGAAAACTTGATTTTTTTGTGTGTGTGTGTGGAAAGTATGCAGTTGGGTTAATTATAATACCCCTCCAGTACAAATAATATCTATTTTAACAATGGAATGACCAGATTATTTTGGAGATATATCTTCATTGTATTTTCTAAATTCTCTTTATCACCACTATGAAGTTTTTGTTTTATGGTGGTGTTCCCTACCCCAACCCTCCAACTCCAGGTACTGGGATATGAACCCAGGGCAGCTCTACCACTGAGCTATATCCCCAACCCAAATTTTTTATTTGAGACAGGATATTACTGAATTGCCTAAAACGATGTAGAATTTTCAATCCTTTTGCCTCAGCCTCTCAGATTGCTGGAATTACAGGCATGTGCCACTGTGTCTAGCTTTTGTTGTTTTTAAGAATATATAGTAGATCAATAGATGCGTATTCCCTAAGTATTGCCTTATTTTGTAAATATTATCAACATAGTACTGTTCTCAAAATTAAAAATGTGTAAATGTTTTGCTTATATACAAAAAAGAACGTTTTACCATGTTCGAGAGCAGATCGTGAAAGTCAAATAGCAAATTTGCTGATTTTTTTTTTTCCCCTTAACATTGTCAAACAAAATTAGTAAAGGTGTTTTAAGATTGAAAAGAAGTTATAACATCTTTAATTTGTAAAGCCTTTTATTGTTCATTTGTTTTGGTTATATAAAAGACATACAAATTAACAAAAAGCTTGAAGGATATAATAATTAGCCTTAAAAATGACCATACCTTCTAATCTAGGAATCCTATATAAGTATCAGCCCTGTCAGAAATAAGACCAGATATTTCTCTCTAAGATGTTCACAGTCAGGAGGCTGACGCAGGAGGATAGCAGGTTCAAAGCCAGCCTCACAACTTAGTGAGGATTTCAACAACTTAATGAGACGCTGTCTCAAAATAAAAAGGGCTTGGGGGGAGGGGTTGTAGCCCAGTGGTTAAGCACCCCTGGGTTCAATTCCCAGGTCCCCCCCCCTCAAAAAAAATGGAGAAATGAGATAATTGTTCAGTTAAGAGCAAGTTGGATAAAAGTGTATACAGCATTGCTCCAGGCAAGAACAGAAAAGCTACAAGTGTGTATGAACATACCCATCCGTGGGACTAGCAATCATCTACTAGTTTCTCTTAGTATCATTACTAGTGAAAGAAACTTGGCTAGAGCTTTCAGAAACATTAATTAAACTCCCTGTTTACTTGTGGTTCTGTAAAAATTAGCACACCTTAACCTTCTAGGATCCTGTTAACCTTGGGATATGAAAAATCTGCCTGTGTGAGAGACCTGGTCTCTCTACTTCTGTACCTTTTAGTGATATTCTTTGTTTTGAAGCTGTCAAGCCCACTCTTGGTTTATAATTACTCTTCAAGTACAGAGCTTCCTCTTATGGGTGGAATTTGGGAGATAATTATTCCTATTGAGAAATTTTTGGTTGTTTTTAAAAGATAATATAATACAATAAAAAATTGCTTCATTTCTGTTTCTTTTTTTTTAACGTACAATCTCTTTCTTTTTTTTTAAAGAGAGAGAGAGAGAGAGAATTTTTTAATATTTATTTTTTAGTTCTCGGTGGACACAACATCTTTGTTGGTATGTGGTGCTGAGGATCGAACCCGGGCCGCACGCATGCTAGGCGAGCGCGCTACCGCTTGAGCCACATCCCCAGCCCTCATTTCTGTTTCATCAACATGTATTTGACACTCCTTTTATGGATTAAGCATATCCCTTTGAAGTCTATTCAGTTATTGTTCTTTTTAAAAAAAAAAAGAATATATTTTTAACCAACTTGAAATGTCCGTATTTGTGGGGTATAGTGTGAAATTTCAATGATTAGATTATGATACCCAAGCATTTGTCAATGAAATATACATGTTGCTATCAGGATGCAGTCTTTATGCCCTGAAAGTGTTAAGTGAGAATCATACTTTCTCAGTGCCAAACAGTAGAATATCAGTACGAAAACCCGTTCCAGTATTTATGAACTTTATTCTCTGAGATGGAGAGGGACACATGAATAAAAGATAGGAAAATTCCAAACTGCCATACATCCCAGTTTGTTTATTTATCTTTTCATCCCAGTTTATATATTTTAAAAGAAGGGAGCATTTTGATGTCATATTTTCTTTAGTTGTGAAATCCTTTTCTGAAACAGTGCAAAAACTATAGTCCCTTACATTTTTAAAAAACATAAGCCTTGTGTAATGGATCTTCCTCATCTGCCCTCCAGATCATCCTTAGCTGCCCAGCATGTAAGCACATCTTCATCTTGAAGCCCCTATATCATGAAGCCTAACAACATTTCTTGGGACATGATAAGGAACTCTTATTCCTGTAGCCTTTGCCTAGAGTTTTACCTTCTTTCCAAAAAAATGAAATTGAACCCTAACTTTTTTTAAAGACAACTTCACAAGTGGTCCAGTGAGCTTTGACAACCTTTCGGAGCTCTTGAGTCATTTGACTCTTAAGAAAATGTTAATTTTCATGAATTATGTTCAGTTCTTCCTTTCTAGTATTGGTATGTGCACCTTTGTTGATGGTACTTGGTAATAGGCATTAGTAGTTTGAAGTTCACTTAATAGGGTACTTAAGTTCCTGAAACAATTTTATATCCGAACTAATTCTTCTCAGTACATTTTTTTAGAGACGTCATCAAGTAGTATTTTGGTCTCCGGCAGTATGATAGACCATAGCTTACCCTTGAGCTCTTTCTAAATTTGGGCAACAAGGGCACCTGTTCTTACAAATAAAGCTTTATTGGATCCCAACATGCTCATTGATTTGCATGTTGTCTTAGGCTGTTTTGTGTTACACGGTGCACAAGGACTCAAATATTTACTATCTGCTCCTTAAGAAAGGTTTGTAAACCCCTGAAGTGAAGAGGCAAATCTTGGTACCTACATAAGAAATACTAGATTGCGGTTATTTCTTACCATGATTAATAGTTTTTGTCGTAGAAGCAAGATTATTTTCAAAGAACCTCTTAATTCCCTCTCCTAAGTATTCTTGCCCTTTGTCTTTTTGCAAACTTGATGTATTTTATACTCATACATACATAGGTTTTAACTTAAATACAATTTTATGATTACTGGATGTTTTCAAATTCATTTAAATGCTAGTTTTCTTGGATGGATAGATTTGTTAGTAAACCTTTAACTGAAATTAGGCTTCTATTGTCAAAGAATTGAAAGCATTTTGAAATTGGTAGCATTACTTTTAAGAGGTAGATGTTAGACAATTGGGAATTTAGAAAAAAGTTTTTTGGTTTTTGTGTGTTTTTTTAATATGTTTTGTTTTCCTTCCAGCTAAAGTCACAACTCTGCCTTCCTCTTCTACATATTCCACCACAGTTACCACATCAGGTAATTGAAGCTTTTTAAACTAATAGTGATGTTAGGTGTGTATACAATGTTGCTTTTCACTTTTTTTGCCATCAGTTTTCAGTTTTATGGATTGAAACTCATCTCTTAACTAAAGGGCCACAGTAATCAGCTGTTTAAGCAATGATGATAGCTCTACTGGGAATCCTCTTCAAGTTTCTAAATGATTAATCAACATTTGGCCTGACACTGTAAGAATTAATAATAATGTTTTCCAAAACTTTTCAGTATAACTTAAAAAGTTGTGAAATCTGATTTGTAGCTACCAGTTAATTGAAGGGATTGTTTGTGTGCTATATTAGACCATCACAATTTAAGTGATTATACAGCACTATTATTTTTACTAAGAGTGGTCTAAAAAGCCACAATCACTACTGGTTATGCACCTTGCTGTTTTTTCTTAACCACCTTTTAAATTGCTGTTTTGAACTTTTTTTTTGTCCAGGGAATTTAACCTAGAGGCACTTTATTACTGAGCTATATCCCCAGCCCATTTTATTTTTTATTTTGAGGCAGGATCTCACTAAGTTACTTAGGGCCTCAGCCTCCCCAGTTGCTGGGATTATAGGCATGCACCCCTCTATCTGGCCTAAACTGCTGTTTTGGTGCTGAGAAATCTTACCTGTTTTTTGTGATGCCTCAAGCTTCATGCTTATACTTCCTTTCAGTTTCAGTGAGGGCATTCTGTCTTCACAAGAAACAGAAAACAGTTGTAATCAATTTTGGGTTTTGTTTTGTTTTGGTGCGAGGGATCGAATCCAGTATCTTGTGCATGCTAAGCAAGTACTCTATCAATGAGCTGTGTCCCCAGTTGTGATTAATTTTGAAAGTGGCCAACTTACATAACCACAAGAACCAGTTTTCCTATGATATTTTAAGAAAAAATTAAAGTTTATTTCGAGTATGAAATGCTTTTAATGGATGCTACTTTTTTCAGTTTCCTCTTGAAACATTTTATTCCTTTAAAAGAAATTCTGATTTTCATGTTCTTTTTCCTTATGGCTTGGTAATACTTATATTGCAAAACTGTTATTTAAGATGCTTTTATTCATGAATTATTTTGCTTATTGAAATTATAAATTAGGTTTTCATAACTTGAAGAATCAGAACTGAATTTTGTTTACCTTTGTAATAGGTAGTAAAACTCAAATATCGTGAATTTTTAACGAAAACATTAGTATTTACTCAAGCAATTAGCCAAAAAATATTGTCTAACAAAAATTATTGTATATTTTGAAAGTATTTAAAGTTACCAGGGCACAATTTATATACCAGAAAAATTAATGATTTTATGTTTTTTCATATTTGAAGCATTATATAGCAGCATAACCGCTTGATATCTATGGACAGAATGAATGGAATTGAAAAGTAGTTGTCTTCCTCAGTTAGAGATAAGTTCTAGTGTACAGATTTGACCTGAAAGAAAATGCTTTATGGAATTTGACATGGCCAAACAGAAGCTCAGGTGGGTCTTGTAATTATGTTAGAGGATCACAAGACTTGCTAAGGATTGTTATTTCTTTTATCATATCAGATGCAACAAATACCACTTTGGCTCCAACCTCACAACCTGCACGGAAGTCTACCTTTGATGCAGCCAGTTTCATCGGAGGAATAGTCCTTGTTTTGGGCGTGCAGGCTGTAATTTTCTTTCTCTATAAGTTCTGCAAATCTAAAGAACGAAATTACCATACTTTGTAAGCAGACCCATTAAATTAACAAGGACTGGCAGTTCATTTGTGTAACTCACTGAAACCAAAATACTATTTTACAAGAAGTCCTCCATGGAAGACACTATTCCAGGATCTTTAAATTTCCAAAGGATGCATATAGGATATTTTGGAACATCATCCCTGAAGAAAAATCAGTTAATGTTTTACTTAACAGGAATATTTAAAAAATATTCTGCATGAATCCTTGTGGCTGTCGTCTTTTATTTTCAATGGCTGCTGCTGTGGGATTATGTTTCTGTTCATGCCAAATGTAACTTTCTATAAGTGATGGAGAATGTTGTCTGGTGCAGACAACCTCCTGACTCTTGGCAGTTTAAGTTTAGTTATCTTAAAGCCTGAAAGCTGCATTATTTTTATGCTAATTCAAGATGTAATTTAGTGGCCAGAATTGAGAAGGTGTGCCAAATGAGCATCAAATCAGTGGATTTTTGGCTATCATTTCAAAGATGGAATAAATTTATTAATTTAGTAGTACTAAACTGTATCCATAGAGTAAAATTTTGTGCTTGATAAGTTATTTTTTTCTACATTAGAAATAACATGCTACATGGGGAATTACATTCCAGATTTAAAGGAATGAATGGAAAGGATACAGACCATTAATGTTTAACAGGATATTATTCATACTTAAAAAAGCACCTTATATCACTGAGAAAATAAAGAACAGTGCCTTAAAAGACAGACTGAAAAGTAGGCTGAACTTAAAATCTGTGATTTGTTCTTTGATATTAAGGAAGATAAAAGTCGGTTTTGAGATTGTAACTGTTGATGTAAGCAGTAGTAAACCTGCTTTTAGATATCATACTGTTAATATTTAAATTAAAAGCATACCTATTTTTTTTCCCCAGAGCTGAGAAACTTAATGCTAATTACTATTTTACAAAGTTTAAAAGCTTCTCATTGAATTTCACAACATTTTTCTTTGGGCTGTTGAAAAGAATTGTGATAAAATTATGTTTCCTTTGTGTTCAAAAAAATATCTTAACACTATGAACCTTGAAAGGATTTATACCAAGCTTACCTGAAAAGTAACTACTTTCATGAAGTAAAAAAGAAAGAATCATTTATTAGCTCTTTAAATAAGACAATCATTTTAAGTTTTCAGATGGCAGATGTGATCAGTATAATTTCGGAAAATCTAAGGATTTTTTATCAGATTACTATAGATTTTTAATGATGCTTGCCCTAGATGTGTAGACTGTACTTCCACTTTTCCCCCTCCTCTTCTCCTTCTTTCTTCGTTTCAACTCCCATAATATAAATAAGCATACATATTTTTTGTTTCTACAGTTTCTTAAGCACTAGTTTTCTTACTTTTAGAGGGTTGCTTATCCCTTTTCTTTGACACTTTGGATTAGTTCAGAGGCTTTAATTAGTTTAAAATGGGCTTTTGCTTTTTTAGGTCATTTAAGTGTGTTTCTTTTTAAGCCTTTAGTGGCTGAGTTTAGCACTTGATTTTCAATAGTTTATAGGGAAATGACAAATGCCTTTGTTCATTTCATAAACCAAAACTTGTATTTAGGTCATTATATTAAAGGTTCTTAAAATGAAGAGTTACTGGGCTTTTTTTTTTTTTGTCACTTGTTGGTACAGCTGAAGTTTGTTTTACTTGCACATTTGTACATATACCTAATATTTTCAAGTGCCTTAATTGTTTAAAATCTCTGGCTTCAAAGATTTTTTGGAAAAAGGTAGATTACCTCACATTTTTGTGTTTCCATTAGTAGTAATATTTAGGTACCTCACAAAATTTATTATGGTGCCATGGCTGTTAGTTTTTAGTGAGTGCTGTAGAATTCATTTGAAAAATTCACAGAATCCCATTCCTCACAAGGTGGCAAAAACTAGCTACGGTGTATAATGATCATTTGCCTGGAATAACCTTGCCACACGTTAATTTCAGCATATGTAGCAACTTTGTGAAAATATGACTTGATTTGAAGCTTCTATAATTTTGAGCACTCCTCTAACAACAAAAGCATAATGTTGTTAGATTTTGCAAGTCTACAGATGAGCTCTAGGAACAGAACTCAGCCTTTTCTGACTCCCCCACCCCCTTCCTTTAGCAATGTAGTATCTTGAGCCATTAATAATTTTTGGGTTTTTTTAATCCAGAAGGTATATTATGAAATCTTCTCAGATTTTTCATCTGATTTGTTCATGCAGATGTAGGTCTATCAAATGCCTTATTTTACTTTATAGATATTTGTTGCACAGGCAGACACTGCTGTATTTAGAAATTTCTATTTCAGTTCATTTTAAACTGCAAAACCAATCTGTATCATGTACCAAACTGATTTAAAATAAATCTACGTGTTTATTGATTTTTGTCTCCTTTTTATTGACTGGAGTGTATTGTTGGATTTTGATTATGAAATTTAATGCTCAGTTAATTTAATTCAATTTAATGCTGTTGGGGATAGTCTAGTCTGTATTGCTTCTGTGGGCCAGCAGATAACTAAAATGTTAATTGGTCATTGGACAGAGCTTTAAAAATGGTAGTTGGAAGATGGGCTTGACAGTTAAATTGGTCTTATACAAATAATAGAAATGAAGCTCCAAGTTTACCAGGAAGTTATGACAAGAATACCATTATGTTTTTTATCTCATAGAATGTTTTTCATTTCAGATATTGTCTTTATTTATAGTTCAATTGGTGTCATTTTAAATCTTCCATGTTTCTCGATTGTTCTGGAGTTTTAAAAGTTTATATAAATTGCCAGTAACAATTTTTAATACCCATATTTGCTAATGTTCACATTTGGGTAAGTTTCTATTAATTGATTTTTCTGCACAGTATGGGTCACTATTTCCTACTGCTTTGCATACTTGGTAATTTTTTATTGGATGCCAAATGTAAGTTTGGTGCTGGATATTTTTGTATTCCTATAAATATTCTTGAGCATTGTTCTGTGACAAATAGCTGAAGACAGTTTGGGTCTTTTATGTTTTGTGAGGTGAGAACAAAACAGTGTTTGTTCTAAGAGTGATTATTGTGGTACTGAGTGAGGAAAGACTCTTCTGAATGTCCAGTGCCTCTTAGATTTTGAACTTTCTAGTATGGACTGGTAGGAACCAGCTCTGATCCCAACCTTGTTGAGCCCTGGTTACCATTTCCTCTGAACTTTTTCCTTGGAGAGTTCCTTGTGGATGTGTTAATTACTATTTGAGAGGCCCCCTCTGCAGATTTCTCCAGTTATCTCTGCACCTGCCCTTTGGCCCTCTGCCATGGAACTCTCTACCTTCACCTCCAGTGATTTTCAGCTCCATCTCTTCAACTAAGGAAGACAACTGGGCCCTGCCTGGGCTCCCTGCCTTATTTTATGACTTGGAGATCACTATTATTTGCCTAATATCCATTGTATTGGGGGCGGAGGAGAGGGAACCTTTCATATGTTTAGTTTAGCTTTTTAGTTGCTTCAGAATGAGTCTAGTCTCACTTCATTTTAGCCAGAAGAAAAATTCTCAAGATGGGATTTTAGTTTTGGGTTGGGGATACTGGGAATTGAACCTAGGGGTACTTTGCCACTGAGCTACATCCCCAGTCCTTTTATTTGCAACAGTGTCTTGCTAAGTTGCTGAGGCTGGCATAGAACTTGAGAACCTTCTGCCTCAGCTTTCCAAGTTATGGGATTGCAGGCATGTGCCATTGCACTTGGCTTCAAGACAGGACATTTTTAATGTCTCATTTTCAGTTATCAAGCTATACATAAATACGCTTTAACTTTTTTTCTAAATATTGTAGGTAGTGTAAATCTACTTCAGCCATCCCTGGTCCCATCCACTTGCCCTCCTCCATTCTAAAGGTAACTAACTGATATTAACCCTTCTTCCTCCAAAAATTTGTACATACATAATTATACCTATCTTTACAAAATATATCATGTGAATTTTTATTTTAACATTCTGCAAGTTTTTATTATTTCCAGTAAGATGTTCAACAATTCATTGCCACAATATTATTTTCTCTTAGTTGTTTTCAACTTTTTGCTTTTTATATTTAAATTTATTTTTTAGCGGATACATAAATTTATATATTAATGGGATACTATGTGATGTTTCAAAACATGCATTTTGTGTAGATGTTTAAATCGGGGTAAACATCTATGTGAAACACAGTTCTTGATGGTGAAAACATTTATCTGTCTTTAAGTCATCCTAATATGCAATAGTACACCAGAACTTCTTATTCCTATGTAGCTGAACTTTGTACCATTGATCTCCCCTTCCCCTCCTGTACTCTCCCAGCCTCTTAACCATCATTCCACACCCAGCTTCTGTGAGATCAACCTTTCTAGATCCTTCATATGAGTGAGATCATATATGGTACTTGTCTTTCTATGTCTGGCTTATTTCACTTAACATAATCACTTCCATCCATGTTGCAAATGAAAAAGACTTCATTCCTAAGTGAATCGTATTCCATTGTGCATATGTACTGCATTTTCTTTCTTCATTCCATCAGTTAGACACAGTTGTTTCCATTTCTTGTCTATTGTGAGTCCTCCTACAAGTTTGTTTGTTTGTTCACTATGTGTGTGATGTCAAAATGCATTCTACTGCTGCTACTTGGAGGTCTTTTCAAGTTTCCAAATTAGTGTATGTAGCTGTACCAAATACTTAAATTTCTCTGTTGGTATACTGCTGTGGTTTGGATGACTGTCCCCCATGTGTTAAAAGCTGGATCCCCAACTTGTGGTGCTATAGAGAGGTTGGAACCTTTAAGAGGTGGGCCCTAGTGGGAAATAGTTCATTCATTGGAACATGCTCTTGAAGGGGATGTTGAGATCCCAGCCTTCCTCTTCTTTGCTTTCTGGCTGCCATGAGGTAAGCAGCTACCTTAGTTATATCCTCCTGCCATGATGTGCTATTTGGCCCAAAAGCAGTGTGGCCAACCAGCCATGGACTGAAATCTCTAAAACCGTGAGCAAGAATAAACCTTTCCTCCTTTAAGTTGATTATCTCAGGTATTTTGTCACAGTAACAAAGTCAACCAACACCCAACATTGGTACCAAGAAGTGGGAGTTTGTATGACTAAACCTGAGAATAATGGAGGAATCTTTGGATTTGGTTTGTGGGGAGTTTGGAGAAGCAGGTTAGAGAAAGCCTAGGATGCTGTATCCAGAACTCAAAGGGCAATTCTGGTGAGGATTAAGACCAGAATGCTGATTAGTAAAGGTTTCTCAAGAGGTTGCAGGTGAAAATAAGGAATTGGACAGGCCATACCTTTTTACACCATGGTAAAGAATTTGATTACATTTTAGACATCCTTGAGACTTGATGGGAAGCTGAACTTAAAGGTGATAGACCAGTTTACCTGGTGAAGGAAATTTCAAGGCAGCTCAATATTCAGGTAGCAGTTCAGGTTTTATTGCTTCCTTTTAGCTAAATTTACTGTGAAAATCAGAAGTGAAGAGGGAAAATTTGGAAAACTTGAGTTTGGCTCTCCAAAAAAGAAACATGTTTAAAGGTGCTGCCAAGGATGGTGCAGTTGCCAAATAGATCTGCGTCATTGAAAAGAAGCCATGTGAGAGCTGGGCATGGTGGCACATGCCTGCAATCCTAGTAACTTGGGAAGCCAAGGCAGGAAGATCACAAGTTTGAGGCCAGCCTCAGCAAATTAGCAAAACCCTGTTTCAAAAAAAAAAAAAAGGTCTGGGATATAGTTCAGTGGTAAAGTGTCCATGAATTCTATTCCCAGTACCAAAAACTACAACAAAAAAACTAGGCAGTGGCCACCACCACTATCTTAAGCTTAATTCCAGGCTTCATCAGAGATGATGCAACCCTGGCTGTCTGCATAGTGAAGTTCATAGTAGCTACAAATCCATCTGAGTGGGTGCCAGGGAAGCCATCCATGGAGAGATGTCACACCAGTGGCAATCTGGGAAGTCATTCAAGGGAGTGTAGGGTAGTGACAGGAACATTGAGAGGTGATAAATGGAAAAGGGTCACAGTCCATCCCTCTGGCTATTAAGCTTCCATATGTGCCCTTCTGCACATTTCAAAACTTTGCAACAATGAGATAGTCCGACATTTCTTCCTGACCTATATTTTCTTACAAATCAACTTCACTTCCCTTTCTCAAAATAAGAAGATGCCCAGTACTGGCAATCATTTTCATTGTTGATTACATTAATGACTCCTCCAATTCTGTCACTGTTTCATCAAATATTCTGTATTCTAAAAACTAAATTGTAAATTTAATCTCCCAAAACTTGTATATAAAATTAAAATGAAAGAAGAAAATGAAAATGGTTAGAACATACAAATAAATAAAAGAGGAAAGTGGAAAATCCTCAAAGCTATTGCGGTCCCTGTTTTTTTTAAACCTGTGACCTCCTTTCTCTACCTCTTTGGTATTTCTTTTGCTCTTGGCCAGAACCTTAGCTGGTTAGGATTCTTTACCTGGTAAAGACCTAAATATTAGAGCCAAAGTTTCTGATTCTTCAAATTGTTCTACCTATTTTGGTTTTATAGTTTTCATTAATCTTTACTATTGACATGGAACTGCTTAGACACCCAGGGCATCCTCTGTGTTGCAAATATAGTCCTTTTTGCCTCCTTTATGTATTAGCAATACAATCTCGTATTGGCAATCAGGATTGATCCTTCCAGCCAGAAGAGATACACCTTTTTCTGCCTATTTGTTAGGAACATAAGGAAGCCCAGGTGGCAGTCTCATCTTACATAAGTGGAACCATTGTTGTGTCCCTGGTTGAAGCATCCCCTGAGGACTAAAACCTCCAATTTTTAGCATTCTCCAGATGCTGGGATAAGAAGTATAATCATGAAGGAACTCGCTACTACTCTGTGATTCTTGGACCCATATACTCTGGTTCAAAGCATGTGCTACACTTTCAGGGTGGTGTCCCCAACTGCTGTCAAAAATGAGTAGTGGATGATCCATTTGACCTTATAATTAGATCAGCTACTTCTCGGTGTTGGACCATGTTGATTTTATGGGCATGAGCTCACTGCAACATATTTTTTGCTGTGAAATTTATTTCTTGCTTAGAAGCAATGCTATGGAAAAATGTCATATAAGACCTTCGGTAAGTATATGGATTGGAGGTGCTGCTGGCAGAAGCATTATGGGAAGGAAGGTAATACATATACAGAATATGGATTCATTCTAATGAAGGTGAATCTTTGGCCCTGTCATGATGAGAGAAGTCCAGTATCATCAACCTGCTACCAAGTAGATAATGATTAATCATGGGGTTGGCATTATATTGTATAATATAATATTATATTGCAATTAATTATATTCATTAGTGGTCTCAGCTCTGGACAGAATAGACACTTGGCAGTAGTGATGTCGGCTTGGAAAAGGGGAAGTCTGTTGCTAAGCTGACATATGAGCTCCATCCCTACTACTGTGGGATGTTCAGAGTCCCATTGAGAAAGCAGGAAGTAGCTGGAAAATGATGCTGATACTCTCAGGGCATATTATTTTGTCAACTTGATTAATAAGAGCCTCCTTTGCTATAGATGCCCTTTGGTGAGTATTAACTTAAGACCCAAATGTGATCATAGTCTGTGTTCAACCAAAAGCTTCGTCCCGAGCCCATAGTGCTCAACCAAATCCACATATTCCATCTTTGTGGGCCTATCTTAGAACACCCCACTCCTGGTACCAGTTCTGTTTCAACCTTTGGACAATAAGGAGACAGAAATCACATAGTAATTCAAACATGGAATGTTTAACATAAATAATCATTAACTATACCCAAGGATCAGCATAATGGGGGATTGTCTGATATGTAATAAATTCTAAAATATATAAGAATTGCAAATTTAGGAGCAGTGACTACCTTCCAAGGCTCAGATCCAGACTTCATTAGAGACTACCTAGACAAGGCTTACAAGAGAACAGAGAATTTCTCTGAGGTGACAAAGTTACCCAAGGAGGTGCTGGAGGGATCCCTTCAGAAGAGGTTCTGTGCCAGAGGCACTCCACCCTGAAGGGCATGCAATGCTAGAATCAGACTTGGTACAAGCCACATGTATTGTGAGAACTTGATGCTGCTAAAGCCATACACACTGAAAGGATGTGCTTAGAGGAGCACACCAGAACTTTGAAGAGAAATCCTTCTTCTTCCTACAGATTTGCTCCAATACTCTCTCCTGACAGAGTTTAACATTTGCCAATTGACAAAGAGGAAACATTTACAAGGTCCAGATAAGTTATCGCAGAACAGAAAATGAATCTGAGCTGACTTATAACAAATTGATAACTTGTATGGTATCTTATGCTGAAGCTTGAGTTTAGATATCAAAGTTATCAATCTTCCTCTTGTTCTTGTTTTTTATATTCTGTTTCTGAAATAAGCTTGTGTGTGTGCATTTAAATATTTAATCCATTTTGGCAAAAGATGATAACTTAATTTGCTTTGAATAGACCCAACCTTCTCCATAATTAGAAAAAACTCATATGTCATGTATGTGTTAGAGTTCCGTTGCCATAACAAATATCCTAGATAATTAACTTAAAAAGAAAACGGTTTACTTTGGATCACAATTTTGCAGTTTTCATTCCATGGTCAATAGGCCCCACTGGTTTTAGGCCTATAGTGAGGTAATACTTCACGATTGGAATATGCGGCAGAGGAAGCTGCTTACCTCACAATGCCTTGGAAACAGAAGAGAGAGGAATGACTTCCAATATCTCCTCTGAGGGCATGCCCTCAGTGACATAACTTCCTGCCACTAGGCCTCACTTCTTAAAAATGTTTCACCACCTCTCAATAACACTATGGGCTCTGGACCAGGCCTTTAACACATGGGTCTTTGGGGACATTTAGGATTCAAACTATTGAAATATATATTTTTGGTCTAATAACTAGTAGTAAATAACAATACAAAAATTTATGTATGTAAATATGTTTCTTAGGTCTGTTCTATTTATTTATTGCTTTACTCAGATTTTGAAAAAGAACAAAAAAAAAACAGGTTAAGACTTTACTAAGTCTGAGGAGAACTTTGACATTTGTAGGAAGAATAAAAGACTGAAGAGGGATTGTGTTCTTAAGTGAAACAAATAAGATGGTGCTTTCAAGTTTATTTGGATGCAGCTCTATTCAAATACAGTGGTTTCACCTAGTAAAACATAACCCAGCAGCAGGACCTCTGTCTTGGCTATCCCACCTACCTGGTAACTCTCAAAGTCACATTGAGAGGCTACGGTTGGCCAGCAGCAAGGGAGAGCTTATAGGAATGTAAATCAGTGCAAACTATCTTCCAAGATAGTAGATAAGAAAAATGAGATAAAAGGCTTAATGGGGGTAAGAATCATTTTTATTTATTCAAATGCTCATAGAAATAAAATTTGGGAAAAGATGTGATTACCAATCAGATCCAAATGGGATTCTGGATGGAGCTGTTTGGACTTGAAAAGCTGTAAGTTGGACATCTCCTGCCACATTGGGTAGGAAAACCTCATCAGTCCTCTTTTTGGGTTTAATGGGTACCTGTAATATTAAGCACATCGTATTGTTTTTTTTTTTAATGATGGTGAATATTGCTTGGTATAGCATAATAAAAGATCACTGTTGTTAATGAGACTAAAATCTTTGGTTCCATCTGGGCTATGCCTTCAGTGTGCCTTCTCATACCTCCTTTGCCACTTGTTATATGGGAAATTGTCAAGAATGAATCCATCAGTGGAAAGCCATTTCCAGCTAAGGACAAAAAGACTTATCTGTCTAAAGCAAACCACAAATTCCTTAATATTTTGTTACTTATGTTAATGCCAAGGTATTTTTTAGAAAATCATTTGTGTCCCTACATTTCAGCCACTTCCTCTTCAGTCAGTATTTATCTGGCCTGACTCAGAGGCCTTGTTTAAGAAGCCAGACCTTAAGTTAGGTCTGAAATGGTTCCAACTAACTTTGTGTCTTTCCTGGCCTTTAGGATTTTTACTTGGGGTCCCTTTATTGTACATACCCTGACCATCACCCACCTAAATCTCTCAAATATTCACTCTCTCCACTTAGGCACTTAGCTACATGGCAGCCTTTTCTTTTTTTTCCCCCCATTTATTTATTTATTTATTTCATACATGACAATAGTGGAATGCATTACATCATAATTATCCATTCACAGCACAATTTTTCATAACTCTCTATATAAAGTATGTTCACACCAAATTATGCCATTATACATGAGCTCTCCTATTGATTTTCTTTTGCATTACAATTCTTAATACACCTTTATACCACAATTTATCATATCTCTGTTTGTATATAAGGTATGTTGACACCAAGTTCACATCTTCATACATGTATTTTGTATAATGATGAACACCTCCTTCCACCCCCTCCTATTCCCTATCTAGAGGTAATCTTCCTCCCTTGCTCTCCCTCCCTACCCCACCTTGAGTCACCCCACTTATATCAAAGTAAACATTTAGCATTTGTTTTTTTAGGATTGGCAGCCTTTTCAATCACAAGAGCTGTGATCACCAACACGCCCAAAGTATGCAGAGTCTTCAGGAGTGAAATAGAGACTAACTGAATCTTGAAAGGCCCTGTGGTCGCACATACACAAACTGAACTTTGCTTCCTTTTAGAAAAGGCTTTCGCAGCCAGGTACAGTGGCACACACCTTTAATTCCAGCGGGTCACCAAAAAGGAAAGAAAAGGCTTTTGCAAAATGAATAGACATAAAGTTTGCCCTCATGTATCCATCAGCACTACATCCATAGATTCAACTGTGGATCAAAAAAATATTTGAAAAAAATTGCATCCCTTTTGAACATGAACAGACATTTTTGTCATTATTCCATAAACAATACAGTGTAACAAGTATTTCCATAGCGTTTACATTGTGTTAGGTATTATAGTAATCTAGAGGTGATTTGAGGTACATAGGCAAATGTATGTAGAAAATACTATGCTTTTGGGGTGCCTTAAAATCTATAATGTTTATTTCCACTGTTCATTCAAAAAAAGATGTTTAAAAGTGCCATAAGAAAGTTGAAGTAGGGGCTGGGGATGTGGCTCAAGCGGTAGCGCGCTCGCCTGGCATGCGTGCGGCCTGGGTTCGATCCTCAGCACCACATACCAACAAAGATGTTGTGTCTGCCGAAAACTAATAAATAAATAAATATTTTAAAAAAAAAAAAAAAAAAGAAAGTTGAAGTAGTAAGACAACCTCTAGCTTCAGAAAGTAATTAAGTTCAATATCAGAAAATATTTTTAAGAATTTTTTTTAATTAGGGACTTCAACATCTATGGATTTTGGTGTCCATGGGAGTCCTGGAACCAATCCCCATGGGAACTGAAGGTGACTGCACAAAGATTGGTGAGCCAAGCATTGGTAACCATTAACCACAAGGCTCTGACTTGGTTAAGGTGTCAGCTAGTTTGGTCCCAACCTGTTTCTTCACTTTCTTTCCTTTTTCTTTTTTTTTTTTTTTTTTTAATTGTTGATGGACCTTTGTTTTATTTATTTTTATGTGGTACTGAGGATCGAACCCAATGCCTGACGCGTGCTAGGCAAGTGCTCTGCCACTGAGCCACAACCCCAGCCCTCTCTCCTTTCTTAAGTTTAGAAATATCGCAGCAAACTTTTGGACTAATAACTAGACCATCAGTTGAAGAATTACCCAATTTAAACAACTTCTGAGAATGACATAATTTTCTTTGAAGAAATGATTACATCCTTTCTTCTTATTTTTTCTGAAAATAAGGGGAAGAATTCTTAAATGTGTTGATTAGATATGCAAATCTTGGGGCTAGGGCTCTGAAAGATATTGGAGCAAAAAATATACTAAAGAAGTGTAGAGAAGGTAGTAAAAGAGTATGTAAATGTTGTTTTATATCAAGTAAAAGCTAAAATATTTTTTAAAATTCTTTTTTTATTTATTTTTTATTTTTGGTACCAGGGATTGAACTCAAGGGCACTTAACCACTGAGCCAAATCCCTAGTCCTTTTTGTATTTTTTTATTTAGAGACAAGGTCTTGCTGAGTTGCTTAGGGCCTCACTAAGTTGCTGAGGCTAGTTTTGAACTAACAATCCTCCTGACTCAGCCTCCTTCTGGGATTACAGGTGTGTGCCACTGAGCCCAGCTCTCATGTGTTTTAAAATGACTTCTGAAATTCTTTATTTCTGCTCTATTAGGAAAAATCAACTAAGGGAGCCAATGCTGCTAATTAATTATTATGGATGGTTTAAAAAATAAAATCAGAGATAGAACATAGCAAGTTGTTGATACTCATTTTCACACCCAATGATTGACTTGTAATTGAGAAAGTACCATTGGACTTAATGATTTCAACATTAGAATTGTTTTATCCAGATCCAAATTACCTAGATAAAATCTTTGTATACAATTTTTCTAATGTAAGTTTGAAAACTTAAACCTAAAACCATGACATCAGATTTAAAATTTTCATTGTTTCATACATGTAAGTGAACTTATCATTACTTACAGTCTTGGGTCTTTGAATTCTTCTTGTTAATTTATTGCCCATAAGATTAGTCTTTAAAACATGTTGGTGGGAGTATCTGGATAATGTAGAAGCAGAACTTAGGGAGCAGTGAGCCTGGGATATAAGGCCTATAAAGTTCAAAATGTTATAAGTTAGATCTTTGGCTCCTATAGGCCCAGATTTAATTATAAAATTTTAGAGCTTAAAATGGGGATGTAATCCAACTTTATCCATTTTGAGTGACGATGTCAAAATTTGGATGGAGTTTTTTGCCTGAGGGTCACATGATCACGTAAAAGAGGTGAATGACAGGAGACGTGGAAGCCTAAGTAGCTAGACTGCGAGCTGTTCAAACTAACCGACAAAGGCAATGAACTGGATTTGCAGGGTGAGGAAGAACAGCTCACAAATTTCTGACTCAAGCAACTGGATATTCGGCAATACCATTTGCTGGGATGGTGCCTCCTCTACCCCAAAAGGAGTCAGGCCTGTAGGAGGAGAGGAAGATGGATTTCATTTGACCTGCTGAACTTGTGAGCTGGAGACACCTGAATGCAGACATCCAGGAGTCACTGGATATATGGGTCTAGAGCTTGGAGGGGAGTTTCGAGCTGCAGGTGTGGACTTGGCCAACAGTGATAAAGTCGTGGGAACACAAGCAATTATCCAGAAACCATGTGAGGAGAAGAGGCCAGACAGAGCCCTGGATAACTCTGATGTTTAGAGGTTGGATACAGGAGGAGGAATTGGAAAAGGAGATTTAGAAGCAGCAGCCAGAAGAAGAGAAAGAAACCACAAGCCCAGAGCCTTGGACATAAAGGGAAACAGAAACTTAGGAGAAGGGTGTGGTCATGTGAGGCAGGAAGTGAGGACGGTGTTCATCCACTGTGTTTGGAGACATGGAAGTCTTGTTGATCCTGACAAGAGCCACTTCAATGAAGAGGTGGAGACAAAAATCAGATTGTTGGTAGTGTGACAGAGAACTGAGTGATCCCCAAGTGCCATTCTCCCCTTTCTTCTTGAGTAATAAAACTCCAAATGTTTTGTTGCACACACAGAATCTTAGAGTAAAAGCTAAATTTCTCAGTCTCCTTTGTGTGGTCTTAGTGCTGGCTATGAGACATAAGCAGAAGTGTCCTATGTGCTTCTAGGAACCTTCCTAGAAGGCACACTAAGGGAGAAGTGGTAGTTCACTAGGAAACATTAACCCAAAGGGAATTTAAAAAGATGCTTGCCTAAGCTGGAAGCATCAGACTGGAAAGGAGAGAAAGAAAAATTCCAGAGACTGTGGTGGGCAGTGTAAGATAGGGAGCTGCTCAGGGTCAGTGGCCAAAACAGGACCCTGAGTGCACTTGATGCTTTGTTTTTGGCTGGGGCAGAAGTGACAGTGGCCAGGCAGGGGACACCAGTGCCCATGGTGAGGGCTGGGTGGCAGGCATAGAGGCAGAGAGTGGGGCCCTGTGGGCTTTACCAGCAAGCCCAGTTCTTCTCTGAGTAAACCCACTGTAACTTGATATTTGACTTTGTCTACTCCTGAAAGACGGTTTTCCCAGCTATTCACATTGGTAAATAGCCAAATGGAAACACAGATAAAGGACAAACACATGTATGAAACTGTAGTAACCAATATTTGCATGATTACCATCTTGAGACTATTCTAAGTGTCAGATATGCATTAATCCATTTAATTCTCAGAACAAGTTTGAGGTAAGTATTCCCATTTTACTGAGAGGCTAATTAACCTATCTAAGGTCACACCACTAGTAGTGACAGCATTCTAGCTATCTTCTCCAAAGCCCACACACTCGTGTGGCCATGCTACAGAACAGGAAGGAAGGGGCTTGGCTGGTCCTAAGGATAGGACAAGCAGGGTTAATGATATTTGGTCATATTCATGATAGATCTAGAAGAGTACTTACATGTATTTAGTCCTCCTCTAATGGAAGAGGAAGCTAGGTTAGCATCATCCCGGGGTCTGCTGTTCCATTCTGCCTGCTGCTTGCACTGCCCAGAGAGCTATTTTAGGGAGGGTATTGGGGACTGAACTCCAACCACTCCCCAGCCCTATTTTGTATTTTTTATTTAGAGTCAGGGTTTCTAAGTGTTGCTAACAGAGTTGCTAAGTGCCTCGCTAAATTGCTGAGACTAGCTTTGAACTTGCGATCTTCCTGACTCAGCCTCCCGAGCTGCTGAGCTTACAGGCATGCACTACCACGTCCGGCCAGAGAGCTATTTTGATTGCCATTTTCACTGGACTCCTCGAGCTCTCAGCACCCAAGAAGCATAAAGGACTTCATGAATAATATTTGAGAAATGCGGTCACTGGTGTCCCAACTCATTAGGATGCTTTAAAATCCAATGAAGTACTCAATATTGTTTAAGTGGCATATTCTCCCAGGACCAGTTGTTATCCATTGAAACCTTTTAGATGTCAGTAACAAGGTGGAGTAAATTAGAAAATTCTGACAATAAATGAGAATTAAGATCCATTCATCCATGTGCTGTTCATTCATCCAACAAATATCATGGAGGACCCATGATGACCCATTGATCATAGCCACTGTGTTGTTATTGCTAGTCACTGAGGCCCTCCTGCAGTTCAGACCCCTGAGTCTGGATGACTCTTCCAGCTGGGGAGGGCTTGCTTACCGCCTGGGGAGCTCCTCTGGATGGACAGCTGCTCAGTGTCAGGAAGCTGACTCTGTAACTCTTCTATGCGCTGGAAAGCATCCAGCTTCACGCTGCGCTCCTGGGCGAGTCGGCTTCTCGTCTGAGGGTAAAGGGTTTGGGAAGCAGAGAGGCTTTGTGGCGTTCTCTTTAGTTCCCTCAGTTCACAGTGGGGTCTGAAGGGCCCCGGCTCCCTGATGAGGTGCAACCAGGTCTTCTCAAAGTCCTGGATAGGCTGAACTGAGCCTTCTGAGAACCAGGGTCCAGTTCATACAAGACCTTGGAGACCAAGCAATGACATCTGCACCAAGGACCCGTAAAAACCCTGGATGGTTTGAAACAAGAAAAGAATCGTTCTCCCTCAGTCTCAGCTGGGCATCTGCTGGGAGAGCATGTCTCCTGGGTCTGAGAGAAGAAGGTCCCTCCCCAGGGCTAACCTTTACATTTTCTTGGGTAGCTGTCCCCTCGCGTGGCTGACTCATAGTCCCCCAGCTAAGAGGAGCTAAGGCCAAAGTACACCTCATCTGTATAGATCATAGGATTCTTTTTTTCCTTTTACATGAATTATATCCTAATTGTTTTTAATTATTAAAAAATAATACATGCTGTAGTGGGTTGAATACTGTTCTCAAAATTCACATCTACCTGGAACCTCAGAATGTGACTGTATTGGAAATAGAGTCTTTGTAGGCAGATGTAATGAAGTTAGTATAAGGTCATACTGGAGTGAGACCTTAAGTTATCCCTACATCCAGTGACTATTGTCCTCACAAGAAAATGACAGGGTAAGGATATGGACACACAGAGGAACACATAAAGAAGAAAGACATGGGATGCTGGTGCAGAAACTGGAGTGGTGTAACTACAAACCCCAGAATGCTGAGAATTGCCAGCTGTCACCAGGAGCTGAGAGAGAGAGAGACATGGAACAGAGACTTTCTCAGAGCCTCCTAACAGAACAAATGTTGCCAACACCTCGATTTTAGATTTCCGGCTGCCTGAACCATGATAAAATTAATTTCTATTGTTTTAAGCCATCCAGATTGTGGTAAACCATCCCGTTTGTGGTAATTTATTACGACAACCCTGGGAAACTAAGACACATGCTAATTTAAAAAATTCAGCCACACGTGTTTTAAATCCTACTCCTGCTGTTCTGACCCAATGAGGAGGCCCCTGCATGCTCGCAGCTGTCTGAAAACGGGGAGGGGGCTGGCCTTGTGTGCATCGATACTCTCAACTGGAATTTAAATTTCAGTAGATTATCAGAGCTGCAGAGTTAGGGAAACTTCCTCATATAAACTAGGTCCAAAGTCCTTCAATGTATTCCAGATATTTGTGGAGGATCCACAATGGGAAACATGTCAAGATTTCTTGAGCCAGGCCAGGGTTAAATAAATCTGAGGAATAGTAGCAGAGAAAAGAAACATGCCTACTGAGGACATATCTTGTGTCGGCATCTCCAGTCCTACTTCACAGAGAAAGATACGGTGACATCTCAGCATCTCATCAGTCAACATCTATCAACCAGTTAGTAGCAGAGCCAGGCTCTGAGTCTAGGTCTACTACCTGTTTCTGAGGCTTCTCTGCCTTCCTACTCCCCAAATATATAACAGTCAACATTTATTGAGAGCTGCTGGTATAAGTGCTTTGAGCTACCTAACTTAATCTTTACCCAAATCCTGAGAAGTAAATATAGTATCTCATTGCACTGAGAGGCCACACACTTCTCCCAAAGCCACACAGCTGGAGGGCTGGGGGTACAAACCAGGCAGTCTGACCTGTGTTCTTTCTAACTGACCTCTCCAGGCACAGGAGACAGGAAAGGACACTGATGCTCTCTGAGGTCAGATAGCCATTATCTTCCCATAGAGGTGGAGGCTAGAGGTGTGGCAAAGAACCCACAAATGGCCACGAGGGCTCTTGCAGGTCAAGAATTGCTCTTTGCGGTGGGTTAGCCCAGGGGTCTGTGAGCTGTCAGAAGAGCTAGAGGAGGAGTTTAAAAAGGACAAATGGTTTTGACATACATATAGTGAAAATATGTATTTATTGAAACCTCAAAATATCTGTTCTGACTACCTCTAGCATCTCTGCCATTAAATAATTAACAATTAACTCTGGAATTTTGGCAAATGGAATCTATGAATCTATTTTTGAGGTAGCTTATAGAAAAGCATAACATGAAATGCCAACTTTTCTTATAGGTTCAGACATTTATTTATTTATTTATTTGGCACTGGAGAATTGAACTCACATCTGAGCTATATCTCTAGTCCTTTTTATTTTTTTACTTTGAGTCAGGGTCTCACTAAGTTGCCTAGGCTGGCCTCAACCTTGCCATCCTCCTGCCTCAGCCTGCCTAGTTGCTGGGATTACAGGCATGTACTACCACAGCTGGCTTATAGTTCAGTCATTTTAGTGTTCTTTCCAAGAAATAAATGTGAAATTCTAATTTTCTTTTATTCTAAAACTGCTCATTTCCTTTCTTCGTTTCTACACAATTTCTTTAGCAACCCTTGAATTCAGTTTCAACCATAGACTTTTCCTTATTGATCTTTTGAGCCCCTGAAACCCTTGACCAATAATTTAATTTTCCCATTACTTTTCTGACTCCTACTGTCTCTGGTGGATGATTAAGGGCTTTGATCACCCCGTGGGTATATGTGAAACACCTTTCCTGTAAGGTACCATTTCTTTGTCCTCTTCTATTGAATTACATCCTGTGGTCTGCTTTGTCAGAACTTGAATTAATCTACATCTACATTATAATAAACCTCCTCATCTTTTTTCCCTGCGGGATATATTTAACAAAAAATACAATTGTGTCTGCAAGCCATTTTTGCCTTTCATTTTTGTGTCTGCATTTCTAGAAGCACTTGAATAAAATCCTTTTATAATAGCTTCCATAATACTTGCTGCTTTTCCAGGTTACTTCTCAGAATTTTCCAAAGGATGCCAAGTTCAAAGGCTAGAGTTGGGTAGAATGTGCTTTTTAGGTGGTCAGTGGGTGCCAAGATGCTGAGCCTTGGGGCAGTTAGGCCCTCTCTGCTCATCCAAGCAATTATCCCAGTGAAGTCTAGATATGACCATTTCCCCTAATGTGCCTAGAAGTGGCAAAGGTGGCTGCTATGGAGGGCAGGAGAGAGGTATGGAAAGGCAGGGGGAGTGAGCTGGCTCTTGGGGTGCCCAGATTGGCTTTCACCGGAGCTCACCTGTCGGAGGTCTCGCTCCATCTTTCTCCGCTGCAGCTGGCCCAGTTTCGAAGCCCTCTCAGCCTCTTTGGTGAGGAGCTGCAATTGCTGTTCTTTGTGGCCCACTTCTTCCAAGAGCTTCTCCATGCTGGATGTTTTTATGACATCTAGCTGCTGCCGGGTGAGAGCTTCCTGGGTCACTCTGTGTTCTAGCTCCTTCAACAGCTGGGCCTGTGGCAGGAAGGGCCAAGCCAGAAGACAGCAGAGGTGGGGCATGGCAACAATCATCCCCGCTACCAGGGCCCGGGGCAGGTCTACATGGTGCTCTGGGTGACATAGCCCAGGCAGCAGCAAGGGCACCAGAATCTAGCCTGGCTCTGAGGCAGCAGTCAGGGAAACAGAACAAACAAGCACGTAACATAATAAGCCAGGTAAGTGATAATGCCACCATCTGGCAATAACAGATCAAGTAACTTGGTCTTCTGAGAGCAACATTTGATGATAATGTGTATGTTAATTAGCTCATTAACCAAATAATCACATCTATCATAAACTATATTTTCATTGCCATGGAGCCTTTATCATGGGGGAAGAGCAGAGGGCTGGTTTAACTGCACAGACAGGAGCAGGCGTGGGATACAAGCAACTAGCTTGGAAGGGAAATTTTGATTTTGAAGGAAGGAAAAGAATAGTGATCATCTGGTTCTGTCCCAAAGTTTTTCAAATCAGCAGCACTTTAAGTACTAGGTGGTCATTCTTAGTTATGACATTAGCAATGATTATTCATATTGGTATGGCCACTTTACAGCTAACCAAGTAACTCACTGAGGCACAATCACAGAGGAAGTAGAATGCAAAATGCACAAGTCATATTTCAGGTTTTAAATATGTCCAACTTTCCCAGGCTGTTAAAACTGTTCTGACTCTAAACCTAAGAAAAATGTGGGGTGCCAATTTTTTCTTAGGAGTTCAGTCATATCTCAGTGTATTTTTCATGATATAAATGAGTGTCAACCTTGTATCTCTGTGCTTCATTCATACTCAGAAGGTTGACACAGTTAGGGAAAGTTTAGAGCTTATACTGCATGCTCCTTTGTTTTGGGGCCAGTCACCATGGAGAAGCAGCCACTCCTGAAAGGAAAACTTTGGATGTATCATCAGAAAGGACCCAAGTCTTTCCACTTGGGGGCTAATACTGAAGCTTGGACAAAACCCCCAGACTTAGGTTGCTGTGTATGAAGAGTGTACACAGACCACAAAAAGCCAAGTTCAAGGCAGAGACATAGGTCCCAAGACACCCTTTGATAAAATGATCCTCAGAGAAACACACACACACACACACACACACACACACAATGATCTTGCTTATGAAAAATATTTTATCATTATAACTAAAGGTTAGTAAGAAAAAAAAAAGTCTCTTGGCTACTGCCCTTGGTTTCTGGACCGAAGAGGAGACAGGAAGCTATCTTTTTCTGTCTAGGCCATCTGCTCAGCTTCACCCTGTGGAGCTCTGGTGATTGCTGCCGAAGCCACAGTGCCAGTTGTAGTGGCCACACTCAGCTTTGCAGAGAAAGTTCCAGGAGGGGGAGGAGGAGGGTCTGAAGCTCAGATACCTGGTCATCCTGCCGCTTCCGCATCCTGGCATTGTCAGCCTGAGCGCTGGCCAGGGCCTGCCTGAGAGCCAGCAACTGTTGGCGAAATAAACCTGCTTCCCGCTCTGCCATCAGCTTGATGCGCAAACATTCTTTTTTACTTCGAATAGATTCCTGTAAACATCCCAAACACAGTAAGATAAGGAATAAGTTTCCATATTTTTTGTTTCACAAGTAGTGCCTAAACCATCCATCCTTTAAAACTTCCAGTAGAATGGAGTTCTTGCTGGACACTGCTTCCGTGATTGTAATTAAGAATAGTTCAAGAGCCGGGCGGGGTAGCGCACACCTGTAATCCCAGAGGCTCGGGAAGCTGAGACAGGAGAATTGCGAGTTCAAAGCCAGCTTCAGCAACGGCAAGGTGCTAAGCAAATCAGTGAGTAAAATACAAAATAGGGCTGGGGATGTGATTCAGTGGTCAAGTGGCCCTGAGTTCAATCCCCAGTACCAAAAGAAGGAAAGAAGGAAAGAAGGAAGGAAGGAAGGAAGGAAGGAAGGAAGGAAGGAAGGAAGGAAGGAAGGAAGGAAGGAAGGAAGGAAGGAAGGAAGAAAGGAAAAAAGGATAGTGCAATAGATCAAAGTAAATAGACTTTCAGGAACAGTCAGTGGAAGTTTCCAAACCGCTATCTATCAACATGTGCTTTGGCTTCAATTTGCTTTAAAGCAGATTTTCCATCTACTGGTACTTCATTTTCCTCAGATGCATCAAGCCCAAAGACATACAGTATTTTGACAAAGAGCTTTGAGCCCTTGTTCAGATCTCTCCTTCATCTTTTCACTTTCTTTGTGCTCAATTCTCTAACTGTTCTCCCTGGCCAGTTGCTTCTTTTCTGTTTCCCCCCAAGGCTCTGACGTTGTGGCCAACTGTCAGATTTTTCAGCGTGGCTGTCCCTGCCACATGACACCAGTACATCAGCTGCAGTGAGGCAGGCTGAGGAGGCCCCCTGGGGCTGCGGAGCCTCCCTCCCCAGCACTCACCTTCTCTGCCCTGCTCAGCTGGCCCCGGAAGTGTGTCTGCTGCACAGCCTGCCTCCAGAGGCCTAGGCTCCTCACTTTGCACACCAGGGCCGCCAGGCTGCGGTTGTCATGCTCCAAGGCCAAAAGCTGCTCCTATCAAGAAGGCTCAGTTTCAGAAAACCCTGCCCCCAACTCTTTTCCCAGGAAGAGCATCAATTCTAACATCAAAAACATGACACAATTGTGCAGTGAACCCTGGTCCCCCTGGAAATGGCTGCCCAAATGCTTTCTCAGGGAAACCAGACTGGAAAGCAAGCCGGGTGAAGGGTGTGGCAGATGCTAGGAAGAAGCACTGATATCCCACTACTAAGTGAACTCATGTACCTTGGCTGCGTTTTCTTTTATTCCTTCATCAGGCCTGGCAGAGCCCCATTTCTTCCTTAGCTCCTTCATATTGGTGATGCCTTCTGTTCTCACTTCACTGATGAGCTCACACACTTTCTGGGTCAAATTAAGCCAATTCTCATCCAGCTTCTCCTACAAATTATAGACTCATGTCAAGAGAGTATAATGGGTTTGGGAGGCGTGAAGGACAGTGGAGAAAGAACTATTTTGCCTTCTGAAACCTAACTTTTGGAAATGATTCCACATTCAAAGATCCTCCACCCAGATAATTTTTCCAATGTGGATTCTATGGAAGTCACAACAGTGGCCCCTTAAGCATTAGTCTTTCATCCACAGGGCTTCATCATTTGGACACCTTCATGTCCTAGAGTATGCCTTGCTTGTCAAGACCACGGCAACGTGAGTCAGGAGGACAGTGGGTAGAATGCGAGAGGTCAGAGGTAGAAATCCTACCGACAGAATCGCCCCCTGGGAAGGGTTACTTGGAACAATTGAATTTTGCTGTGAGGTTGACTCAGGGCAGAATCTGACCAGAAAAGACACTACAGATGACCCATCACTGAGGAACTCCATTAAATATGGATAAGTGGAGGAAGGAATCAGGCTGGCTGCCTTCCTATTTAGGTTCTGGCAGAAGCCTCATTATAAAACGTTCTGTTCTAAATGGCTTATGGCTAATGGCTTATGATGAAACAGCTCGATCAATGCTAAGTATAACTGCAGCCTTAGGGTTGTGGACTGAACTGTGTCTCCTCGAAAATTCACCCATTGAACCCTAACGCTCTTTGTGACAGTGTCTGGGGATCTGAGATCTTCAGGAGGGAAGTAAGGTTAAACTGAGGTCATAAGGGTGGTTCCCTATTTCAATAAGACTGTGGTCTGTCAGAAGAGGAAGACAGAAAGATAACTTTCCCTTTTTCTCTGCCATCTAAAGGCACAGCAAGAAGATGGCCAAATGCAAACCAGAAAAGGAGTCCTCACAGAAGCTGCTCTGATTTTGGGCTTCTAGAACCATGAGAAAATAAATTTCTGTTGTTTAAGTTGCCCAGTCTATGGCACTTTGTGATAGCAGCCTGAGCAGACTAAGATACCTAGACTCCTTTAGGATGAAAAGTAAGTGTAGGGGTGTCATCTCACTTCTGACCCACATCTCCAAAGAGGCAGGCAGGAAGGTAGTGCCAGCTGAGAGATATAGCAGGAAATCTGGCTGCTGATCACATGGTAGAAGCCTCACCATCCTCTTGGGACCCTGGAGGAGAACAGGGATTCCCTTCTTTGGGGGGGGGGGTTTCATGGAACTACTTTAGCTTGGGAAGAAGAGATTCCACTTCTTAATCTTGAAATCTGGTAAAAGCTAACAGGATCTGAAGAATTATTTCTCGATGATCTCATACCTGAATGATTACTTAGCAAATTTCAGCCTTCACTGTCTACTCATTCCTCTCCTGCGCACTAGAACCAGCTCATTTGGGTTTTGATCCTCTTATATTTGTAAGTATTTGTACTTTGCAAATTAGAGGAAATCTCTAACCCTCTCTGGAATGACTAGGCTAAGGCAGAGAACCGCAGGATCTCCTGTTAGGACCCTTCTGGAACGCTCAGGGAGAGATAGGGAAGCAAGGACCCACATGGGGCTGGCTCTGGAATTCATCCAATAGTAGAGATGGGGGCAGGGCCGGAGGAAGCTATGGATTTCAGGGTTGTAGGTTGTATTTGTTGGGCAGCTGGACCAGGCTTTCTGATAGTCCATTGTGGGCTGCGTATCTATCTCACAGCTGCTCAGACATAAGAAAGTGACTGGTTTCTGTAGTGCTGGGAGCACATGGGTATCCCATCACTCCTTTTCTGGATGCTTCTTCATTGACAGGTCAGCAGCTCCCTGACACTGGATGTAAGAGAAAGGAAGGTGGGAATACTGAGGATTGGAAAAAAAAATCTGAACGCCAGTTCACATCCCTCATCTGCCCATGAGCTCTCAAGAGGTACCAGCTGCTTCTTCCATTGAAGTCTGGCTGGGCCCAGGGGACTGTGCTCCCCCATTTGGGGAGTTACTCTCCACAGAAACAACAATGGTAGACACTGGTAAGGATTTGAACCAGAATATCCTCCTCTTTTCAACTGCAACAAGATGGCGACTGGCAGTAGAATACAAAAAATAAACATCTAACTTATCCAAAATTCAGTGTCCATCAGGGGAGAATAATGACAACCCATTGCTAACTTTCTCTCTGCAGCAAAAACTTACAGCGGGAAAATTCTTGGGCCCAAGAATGTCTTATTACCTTTAAGTCCATTCTGCCATTGACTCCTTGGTGTACAGCCACAGGGCTGCCCAGAAGACTGACATAGGATACTTACTTTTCTGTGTAAACAGGTCATAAACAAAGCTTGGACCAATGCTTCATATTCTTCTTGGACTTCTTCTCTAATTTGCTTTTTGAGATTTATGTTCTCCTCTTCCAAATCTGTGAGTTGGGCTCTCAGAGCAGTGATTTCCATGATCATATCATGACTGAGCTCTGCAACCTAGCAGCAGAAACACACACACACACACACACACACACACACACACACACACACACAATATTTATGGAAAACAACTTAGGAATTCCAAAGTTCTACTATAAAAAAGTTCTTTATAGGTTACTGTAGAATTTGCACTTCTCTTTTGAATCTAAGGAAGAAGGTGAATATCCTGCTGTGTAAAGATGAACAGAAGAATCTCATCTTGATTCAAAGGTTTCACAATAGTGCCAGACACAGAGGACTTGCTCGGCAAATGGTTGCTGAATAAATGGGCCAAAGAACCGCTATTTGAGCAATTTTCAATTAGAGAAAATACCTGACCTATCTTGACCTTCATCTCCAAATTGACCTTTCCTTGATCCCTCAGCCCAAATACTTCTTCGTTTTGGGGATGCACTTTAACTGCCCTCAAAGGAAAACAAACACCCCCCTCCCGTGCCAAATAACAAGACTCCCAAAACAACACAAAGTAACAAAAAATAAATTAAAAACTCAAGAAAAAATAAAACACCCTTAAACCTCATTGCTTACAAAAAGTAAAAACACACTCCTTGGGTGTTTCTGCAGGGACCTTCATTGATGGGCCTTTCACAAGCAACCCATGCAAATGACGCTCAGAAATCTCACTTCTGGCAAACTCTGAGAGTGTAGATGTGAGAATGGAGAAGAGAATCTTTTTAAGAACTGACCTACCTGACCAGCATGGTCTTCAGGTGGCACTTGACGTCTTTGTAGCACATCTAGTTCCTGAGAAGAAAGCAGTGCACAACCAAACACCAATATTTACCCTCCTAACCACAGCTTGGTTCAGGAGGGCACATTCCCGACACCTCCTGTTTGTGTTCATGGAGCCTCATTTTGAGACCCTCAGCCTCATCCTGGAGCCGGGACTGTGCTTGCCATACCATTAGACTTTAGGATTTATAACACGGCATCAAAAGACAACATCCTCTCTCCACCCTGGTACAGGGAACCCAACCATGGGCATAGGCCCAAATGGATGGGAACAGGCCCAAATGGGAGAATTCCAAGATTTATTATTTGATATTTTTGTGCTTCATTTTTTTTTTTTGGCTAGTCTTAGATCTTTTCCTCTTTTTCTCAGATACAAACTAGAATTATACTGAGGCTCTGATGCAATCTATTTCTAAACAGTGTGCTATTTAGGACAGGAGAAGTGACTCTTCGATCCCACCAATGGGATTTCACAATTCTTTTTTTTTTTTTTTTTGCAGAGCTGGGGGTTGAACCCAGGGCTTTATGCATGTTAGGCAAGCACTCTGCCACTGAGCTATACCCCCAGCCACCAATGGGATTTCATTTTAAGGAAGTGGCACCAGTGAGATTGACCATGGTATGCATGCTGAAGACAGTTTTTTCAAGAATCTTGGCTTCTCTGCTAGACCAGGAATAGCCTTGTGTTTGCTGAGCCAGGAAAGGTCAGCTATGCACCTTCCAGCTCATGGCTTGGTCACCTCCTGCATTCCCCACTGGACACTCTCAAAGCACACAACTCAGTATTGCGGGGGCCATCACCTATGCAGTGGAGAATATCAGAACCCAAGAAAATAAGTTGATGACAAATTTGGAAAGTTCCTTTCCCCCTCAATTCTGGCATAAGAACTGGTCCCCTCCCCATACCTGTTCAGTTTTACTTTCTTGTTTGAATTACTCCTGGGCCTCCTGCCCATTGCCCTTCCCCCAACTTGTTCTCCTCTCTCTGGATACCTACCTGCTCCTTCTGGCAGAGCTTCTGCCTAGTGTGCTGCAACACATGCTCATAACACATGGAGTAGGTCTCAAAGTTGCTGCGTTCTCTTGCCATCACATCACAACCCAGGGAAAGGAGGCAGGCCTCAAGGTGGTCTTTCCTGAAGGTGATCTGAAAAAACAGGAGCATTATTCCCAGCAGCTCCAGCAGGGTTGAGCAGCCTCACTATGCCAGGGCTGGAGGCACACATTGCCTTGGCTTGCAGAAGGACATGCATATCCGATCCGTACCAAAACTCCAGGCTGGCAAACCTCTCTCACCTCTGAACATGTGCAGTGCCAGGGACAAGACAACAAATGGAGACTGCCTATCATGTGTCTAAGTATTTCAAGGTTATAAATCAAATTAATACACTATTAAAATGCAACGTTTAATTCTCCTACCTTGAAAGATTAGACCTTCAAAATGGTCTGAAAGTCCAGGTTTGAATTTATTATTCATGGACTACTTTGAGTTTTATGCTGAAGGGTGGTGAACTGGGGGCAGCTGGTCCCCAACCCAGAATTTACGGTATGACTCCATTCTCTTCCCACCTTGTGAGGGTCTTCACAGTCCTACTGACTGGACACTGCAGGCTGCAGGTTCAAACTCCACCCACACCCCTACTCAGCTGCCTCTTGGCCACCCCCCAGGCCAAGGGTGTGCACACTGGTGGTCCACTCTTGCTCCAGAGAGGAGCCCCATGTAGACCCCAGACTCAGGGGATTCTGGAAATCCCAGGTTCCTGCAATACAGTCTAGAAGGAAGGCCAGGGCTCTGTGTGGACATGTCCCTGTGGCCCAGAGGATTTATTACCTAGTAGGGAAGAGCAGGGCTTTAGGAGGCAAGAAGTGACCTTGTGAAGCACAGGGCATGGGACAGGGGCCCCTGCAGCTCTGTTCTAAGGACCCACATGGCTCACTTTCTCAGCAATTCCATTCATCCTCTTTCTCCAGGAGACTGGGCATACTCTTTGAAGAGGTGGCCATTAAAGAAGAGAGAAGTCTACCCCTCCAAGGCAGAAACGGGAGTGAATGGAGAGAAATGGGAGTCAATTTGTGAAACACAGATCAGATCACCCAGTCAGGACCCACACATCCATGCAGGTGTGGGTGCATGTCCTGCTGTGTGTATCAGTGTGTGTGTGTGTGTGTGTGTGTGTGTGTGTGTGTGTGTTGGAGGTCTTATGTCACTAAGTCCAAGAGCCAGCTGGCACTTGAGCTTGATCTGTGATTCTGCCAAGGTGTGGCCAGCTCTTGGCTCCCTGGCAGACTGCTGTAGGTTGTCCTTGGAGACTGCACTGGTCCCCTGGCTCTGATTCACTTGTGTCTGGAGGTCCAAGATACTGTCCCATCAGTGCAACCTCAGGGCCAAACTGACCTTTAGAGAAAGTTCACAGTGGAATTTGCCAAGACAAGTTATTGAAGCAAAGTAGCAGAGGTGGCAAATAGTAAGAAGTCGTAGCATGGAGGAGGGAGTAAGGAGGGCGGCTCCTCCTGCTGCTGTGAGAGCGGGGGCACTTCTACCTCTCTTAAGGAGATCAGGCTGGCAGTATCTATGACAAGAGTGTGATGTGTTTGTGCTCTTTGACCCAGTGACTCCTCTTCTATAAATTTATCTTTAGGGGATAATAAAAGAATGTATGCAGACATTTTTAAAAAATATATATTTTTTTCCAATAGAAAAAAAAAATGGAAAACAAAGTGCCTAACAAAGGAGTTAGGTAGAATCCATTTGGTTCATCTACACCAGGAAACACTGACCAGCCTCCAAAAATGGACACACATTTACTGACAAGGGTTTACAACATGTGGTTAAGTGAAAAGAACATGCTAGGAAACGAGTCATGTAGAATAATCCTACTATATAAAAACTTAAAAAGTGCATGAACAGAAAATAGGTTGGAAATAAAGTTTGGAAGGAAACACGCCAAAATAATAATAGAGGTTATTAATGAATCTATTTTCTAAAAAATTATATTTCTATTTTCTAATATAATTTATAATACATATTGTATATTTCTAATATAATATAATCATAATATGTAATTAAGTAATGATATACATATGCACAAAAATAACATAAATATACTAATTAAAAGTTATGCTTTTAAAAAGTCATGCATCAAATCAGCTTGACAGAATGGAATCCAACGTGGACAATGGAACCAGGACATGTCTGTCTGTGTGGAATCGAATGAACAGCCAGGCAGTTGGGCAGGAGCCCTGCCTCCCCTGACTCACTCTCCAGGGCCCTCCTTAAGGGGCCTTTCAGTGGGAGATGAGAGGGCAGGTCACCCTGCCCCTGTTCTGGTCCCACTCAGGTCCTGGAAGGTGAGCAGCAGGACAGCTGTAGTTCAGCAGCTGACACAAGGCAAAGGGAATGTCAGGTTCTTTGCCTAGACCCTGCCTTCTCTGTGGTGAAAGGGCCAGGCTACGTGGGCTTAGAATGACAAAGGAAACTCTTCCGGGGCTGACTGATGAAAACTTGAAGCCATGAGAAGTCATGAGACTGCACAGTGGGCCAGTAAGGTGTGGCCAGTGATCTCATCCAGGCCCAGCACTCAGAGCCAGCCACAGTGACTCACTCCTTACTGTCTGAGCATCACTGCCTGCACGTGGATGTGCCAACAAGGCCTCTGACAGCACTTAGCAAGGCAGTTGTTTCTCATACTAATGCCGCCATAGCCCCTGCAGAATAGTATTGCAGAATTGAACCCCATGGCCCTCTGGCAGGCTCTGTTAGCCAATGTAGAACATGATCTACCCAGCAAGGATGAGGAGCCCTGTGGTGACACCCAGGAGCTGGGAACGGCCAGGACTCTTCTGCTTGAGCATTCCCAGAGGCCAGAGGAGTTATGTTGTTTCTTTCTCTTGGTGGCTTTGCTGAGGCCTCTGCAGATGAAGGATCAGATTAAGGGCCAGCCCAGAGGGCGTGGGTCTGGGAGCAGGGAGAGGGAGTAACTGCGCAGGTAGAGCTTCTTCAGAGAGCCGTGGAAAGAGGGGTGTCCAGGTGGTGCACATAGGATGCTGTGACTGACAGGCAAGGGAGAGAAACAGGCAGACTCCTGGGGTCCTGGCTGTCCCCATTCTTCAGGGGAACTTCAGTCGTGCACTCGACCTTCCAGAGATAGCATTGGATGCTCCTTGAACAGTAATTGCTGGAATACTGCCGCCATGGCTTCTGATGGCACATTCCTGCAGCTCTTAGAGAGTCACTCTGCAACCTACGGCTGCCTTCCTGGGTCACTGTAAATGTCACTGCGGCTTGAATGTAGTGTGAACAGGCTTCATCAGCCCACTTCCTTTCTGGGCAGCAGAAGAGCCACAGTCAGCCCTTTGGCCTGGTTCTGCCCAGTGAGCAGCCCTGCTCTCCTTGGGGCTGTCTTTCACCACCATTTAAACCTGAACTGTACCAGGCATGGTGTCACATGCCTGAAATCCCAGCAGCTCGGAAGGCTAAGGCAAGAGGATCACAAGTTCAAAGCCAGTCTCAGCAACATAGAGAATCTCTAAGCAACTTAGGGAGGCTCTGTCTCTAAAAAAATATAAAAGGGGCTGGGGATGTGGTTCAGTGGTTAAGCACCTGTGTGTTTAATCCCTGGTACCTAAATAAATAAAAATAAAATAAACCTGAACTGAAATGGATGGTGCTGGCCAGAAGAGCACTGACTTGCCCCACAGATTCTTCCAGGGAGCCAGCCTATGGGGAAGCATGGCAGGTGCTGGACCTTATGGGGAAAAGTCTGGTTTTATATCCTGCTGGGAGCATGTGGTTCAAAAAACACCTCTTCCAGGAAGTCTTCCCTGACTTCTCTAAGCTCATGTGGCAACCTGTGAGGGCTCTCGCAAAGAATTTACTCCTTTTCCAGACATCGCTGGTTCACCTAACTGTCGTCATAAGGGCAGGGATTATACTTCTCGCCTTTATATTTCTAAAAAAGTGCCTAGAAAAATAGAAATCTCTGTCATATAAATGGAAATGGTTCTGAAATCCACAAAATATGTAACTATAGTTCTGATTTGAAAAATGTCTGGTTTCTTGCTGGGTGAGGTGGCAGATACCTAAAATCCCACAGGGAAGACTGAGGCAGGAGGATCACAAGTTCAAGGCCAGCTTGGCAACTTATCGAGAACCTGTCTCAAAAAAGAGCTGGAGATGTAGTGGTAGAGCACCCCTGGGTTCAACTTCCAGTACCAGAATTTTTTTAAAAAGGTAGCTTCTTGCTTTAGTGTATTTGGTATAAAATTTGTACAAGAAAAGCTGGTTTTCTAGAATTTGGAGAAGGAAGCAAAGATCACAAGAAGCCAACATGGGTTCAAGAAAAAGTGGTCAGATTAATACTATTTTCTCAGGAAACACAATAACCATGGTGTATCTGGGTTCAGCAGGACATCTGAGAGGGAAAAATGGGAGAACATGGGCTGTATAAAGTACAGCTGGATGGGCTTCTGGCTACTGAGAACCTGTGTCCAAGGAGGACCAGGCTACCCAGGACCTAGAGTGGGCAGTATGGAGCTAGGGGCCTGTCCTGGCATCCACTGCTATTAATTATTTGAATGAGGATACCAGATTTCAGGCTGGTATAAAACTAGGAGAGAGTAGAGGATAACAAAAATCCATATCTTTAAAACTCTCAAGAGGTCCAAAGAGTGAACCAAACTGAACAAGAACGAGGCTGATGATATGGCAGCATCAGGAAGTCTGAGTGCAACATGTGGGCTTCAGATGACAGCTTAATGCGTCAGCTGTGACGTGGCTGCTGAAACCCAACACACTCCGAGGCATTAATCTAAGCAAAATATCCAGGACAAGGTCACTGCTGGCCAGAAAGCCATGAATTTAAAGAAGATGGATCAAGATGGCAAGGGTAGTCCTAGAAAACCGCAGAAGGAACTGGGAACAGCTTCGTCTGAAGGAGAGCAGACAGGCGAAGGTCCTTAAGGCAAGTTCTTGCCATCTGTGCTCTGCCCAGAGGCATCCAGGTGAAGGGGGAGCCCAGGGACTGCTCCATTTTCCAGTCCATGTTTCCTGGCACGGAGCTGCCCCATCAGAAAGAAAGGGTAATGATTTGTAATCCAACACCCAGAGGGACACCTGTTTTGATTTGTCCTTCCAAAGTTGCCCCTTGCTGTAACCGTCTTCACACATGCTAACCATGGCTCTACTGAACTGGCCCCAGACATCTAAAGGTTCATTGTCAGGGGTCAGAACCATGATCTGTGGCGTCTCAGAAAAGAGAATCCATGGTGGAGATGTGGGGTTGTGGAGCCTGCAGACCAAATCCAGCTCAGGAGGCGCTGACTAAAGCAAGAGCTGCCTAGGATTGGGGGAAGGTTCAGGAGAGACTGAGCTCCCTGTCACTGCAGATGATCTAGAAGAGTCAGGATGCTGGAGGGACCCACGCATCCTGAGGGCCCATGATTCCTAGACACTGGCAGACCAACACCAACCTCTTCCAGAGTTTCTGGAGTTTCAGTTGCACCTGCTATGGGTTCGCGCTGCCTAGCCATGCCCATATTTCTTCCCTACAAGATTTTATCCTGGGTGCTAAGCATACAGAGGAGCATACAGGGAGCAGAAATTGAACCACAAAATTGTCGAGGTTGTTTAATTGGTGCATTAAAATCATACATGATAGTATGTTGTTTGCTCTTATTGTGGTAAAATATTGATAAGGTAACATTTGTCATTTTAACTATCTTCAAGTGTACAGTTCAGTGACATGTTGTTGGGAAACTGTCACTACCAGCCATCTCTGGAAGTCTTTTCATCTTGTAGAACTAAAACTTTGTGGTACAATAACTCCTCTCCTCCTCTCCCTAGCCTCTGGCAACCACCATTCTATTTTTTGAATCTATAAATTTGACTTCTCTAGTTACCTTAAAAAAATGGAGTCAGATAGTATTTTCCTTTCATTTCACTTAGTATACATCCTCAATGTGTCTATATTGTAGCATGGATCTGCACATCCTTCCTTTTTAAGGCGAGCCACAGTTTTAATGCAAATATTTTTCTGAGTATGCCCTGCTCTCTCTATCTGTGTACCCGCTCATCACAGTGTATGGTCCCATGTTTGTGTGTAATGGAAAGCTGAAAAACTACGTCAACCATCAACATCTGAGGAAGAATGTATCGCCGACCAAGCATGTGAGTTCTTTACTTCATAATTAAGAACTGAAGTGTTTATTATAAAAATGATGAAGAACACTTTCAGAAACTTAGAAAAATGTGTTTCAAGAAAGCATTGTTTAAAAATGGAGCACATTTTGCCAAAACAGATTTTTAAAATGATTGGATATTGGTGATTCATATCTACCCAAAACATTTATTAATCATCCTAAAAATTTTATGTCCAAACATCCACGTTTACTCTCTTATTCTGCTTTTTCAGTGGATTTTCTTGATTTAGCTAAGCACTTCCTGCCAAGAGTAAATATGTTTTGAAATTCCAAAGATAGTGTGTGTGTGTGTATTAAATACATACTCCTGTTAAGTATAATAATATAGAGTGGTATGGACCCCCATATTTTTCTGGTAGGATGTACACACAAAAATTACTGGTGCCACTTCCCTTTGTGGAGAAGGAACCAGGTGGTGGATGGGATGGGGATGTCACTCAGTGGCAGAGTGCCCAGCATGTTTGAAGCCCTGGGTTTGATCTCTGGCACTGACAAAAAAGGAGGGGGAGGGGGAGGGGAGGGGGAGGAGGAGAAGGAGGAGGAAGATGGAATGGGGAAAGAATGAAGATGTTACCTTTCTGTGCTGTTGGCTTTTTTTTTTCATATTGTAGATTTTAAAAATGTTTTCTAGTTAGTAGTGTTATAGGCTCTTTTGGTTTTCCTCTAAAATTTTCTGTACTAACAGATAAACAACAGGAATGAGGCAAAACATAAAAGTCAACACATTACAAACTCCAAAGTTGCTTTAATCACCTGACTAAATTCAAAATCAGCCAATATATTTTTTCTGTCTACTCAGATCTTTATAGACATCAGACTTTTTCCAATATTCATATTGCAACAAATTATTACAATTTGGGATTCAGATTCAGTTTTCATATCATCATTCTTCAGGAGTAAAGGAAAAATTAGGAGCTGTGTTAAATGATGAAGTGTTCCTTTGGGTTTATATTTAAAAAAAAAAACAGAATGACTAATTTTCAATACATACCTCTGGTCCACTATCCTGGTAATTCTCCATTAATTTCTGTATAAATTTCTCAACTATTTGTGGTCTGGCAACTGAAAAATTTTCTTTCATGACTTGATGTTTCCAAAGGTCTAGGAGGGAAAACATGTCAACACTGGTATCGCAAAACACCAAGCGTCATTAACAGCTATGAAATGGCACCTCTCAGAGACCACCATGGGCACCACAAGCTGTCATTTCCACATGCACTGGGTGAGGCAGCAGAGGGGAGGTGGTAGTCAAGGACCCAGAACTCTCTGGAACATAGAATAAGGAAGATTCCTAATGAAAAGATTTAGAAAAGCATTTCTGGAATCCAGTAAACAAGGTTCTGTTACCATAACTAAAAAGCCTGAGTGAACCATTACTATTGGTCCTATAAGATGCCTATTTGCACTAATATCCTGTATGTGTCTGAGCAATATTTCTAGTCTAACACAGCTATCAGAAACAAATGAGCGACATGGCTGAGACATGTGCAACGAGGCATGTACTGTTGTCAGGGTAACATTGTTTATGGCAGCAAAAGCTTGGAAACTCCACAGGTGTCCCTCATTCAGGATCTGGTTACTTAAAATATTATAGGTCCTTTTGATAGAGTAGTATACAGCTATTGAAAAAAGAAAGTCTCCCTATACTTATGAGCAAAAACTAATAATAAAAAACAACTATAGATTAAGTTACAATAGCAAAGTGCAGAACAGTAGATATAAAATGCTATCTTTAAAAAAAATTTTTTTTGTACTTGTAGGTGAACAGCATACCATTATTTATTTATTTATTTTTATGTGGTGCTAAGGATTGAATCCAGTGCCTCACATGTGCTAGGTAAGCGCTCTACCATTGAGCTACAGTCCCAGCCCCTAAAATGTCATCTTTAATAAAAAGATATAATAAACACAATTGGAAAGATATGGCCTCAAGACTATTCAGGGTCATTGCTCCAGAAACTTCCTGGTCTTTCTCCTATGTCATCACTTCTCTTCTCTGGCCTGGGTCATTCACAGTGGCACATGCATTTCTCCCATTAAAATAATAAAAATCCTTCTCTTGAAACTACCCCCCACCTGACTCCATCAGCTGTGGCCTCATTTCTTTGTATCCTTTTATAGCAAAATTCCCAGAAAGAGATGTCTACACTGAAACTGTCCTTGGCTTGTCTCAAATTCCTTCTTAAACCCCTTCACCTGGTTTTCATTTCCACCAGTCTGCTGAAACCGATTTTGTCATGAGTGCCAACCATTTCCTCTGGTTAAAGACAGTGGTTTTACTTCCCTACCGGCAGCCTTTCACCTGATGTGTTAACTTCCTAACTGAGAAAGTTCCTTCGCTAGGCATTGGGACGCTACTCTGGCTGGTTTCCCTTGTACTTGGATGTCTGCTCCTTCTAGGTTTCTTTCACTGGTTGTCTTTCTCCCCTCCCAGCTCAGAGTGTCCCAGGGCTCAGGCCTTGGTTCAGCTCCTCACATACCCACTTTCTTCGCCAGCTCGTCTTGACTCGCGGCTCAATCTCACTCACATAGTGACAACTCTCAAAGTTAGACCCAATACCCACTGAGCCTCTCTTCTTGCAGTCTAAAAGGCATTTAAAGCCTAACTTAGGAGCAAATTCCCAGTTTTTCCTCCCTAACTTATTTCATCAACAGCCTATTTTGTCTCAGCTCAAGGAAATTCCATTTTCCCATCACTCAGGTCAAAAAAATCTTAGAGTCATAATGAACTCATCTCCTTCTCCCATCTCCAATAGTACCCAATCCGTTAGTGCCTCCTTCAAAATCTACCCAGAATCTGACCACTCACCTTTCCCTCTACTCCCAGCTCTGAGTCACCATCTCCTCTTGTTGGATTATTGCCACAGCCTCCAAACCAACCTCTCCCTTCTTTCATCCTTTCTTCCTTCGTAGTCTACCCTCAATATAGCAGCCAGAGAGAATCCGGTAAAACAGAAACCAGATCACGTCATTCAAAACCAGGGGCATTTTCAAAATAAGTGCTAAAGTCCTTACGAGGCTCTGCATGACCCGTCCTCCTTGCCCCATCCCTCTCTGACTTCATCCCCTCCTCTCTTCCCTCATACCCCTTCCTCCAGTCACACTTGGGGTTGCTGTTCCCACATTAGCAGTACATGCTTTACTTAGGATTTTCGATTGAGTTGTGCCTTCTGTCTGGGATGCTCTTCACTTGAACACCCTCTTACTAACTCAGAGAGGTCTACTCTGATCCAATGCCCCCCCTTCAAGCCTTTTCAAAATCATCCTCCATACTCCATTATTTTTTTTTAAAATGTGGTTTATTGCTTGCTGTCTCTCCTATTCTTGATTATAAACTCCACAAGAGTAAGAATTTTTTGCTTATGAAAGTAAGGATGTATCCCTACATCAGCACCTAATATGTGGTAGCCTAGAACATAGGAGATGCTCAGTACATCATGATCAAATCAAAGAATGAATTAACATGTGCATAAAGAAGTACATGAGATTTATAAAAATAATGAAATTGGTTATGGATATAGGTGGCAGAATGGTCACAAGGGGATCAATAGTGGCAAGGAGAATTCTATCGATTTTTATGTTGTTTGTGTTTTGAACCCTGTGGATATGTATATTACCTACTAAAAATAAAATCAAAATTAAAAAAAATGATATCATTAGAACAATGTAAGACTATCCAGCCTTCTTAACTTCCATATGGGAGAGCAAGAGCACACGTGTGTGTTAATTACCTTGGTGAGACTGGCCTGGTAGGACTCACTTCCTCAGGCATGGTCTCAGAGGAGCCTTGGAATTGTTCACCAGAGCCAAGTCTCACTCTGCTCCCCTTTCTGTTATGGAGGTGCTGGCCAGCAGCAAGAATGCCCACCAGGCCTCTCCCTGTCCCCAGCTGTTTCTAACTTCAGATGAGATTTCCTACTTGTGCCCTCAAGTTTTCTGAGAGGAGTTTTCCGTGCACAAAAGAGGAGTGTCCAGCACAGACTGCCCAGAAACGTGGCTATGACAGCTGCAGCCTCTTAGGTTTGCTCATACTGTCCTATTTAATGAGGGGTGTTGGTTTTGAAGATGGGATTCCACATTTCTTTCTATAGTTGGCTGCTTTCCATAATAAACATATAAATCTGAGCTTGCTTTTCCTTTAGGAAATAAAGGTGGTAGACAGGCGTATTGCCATCGTCCCAACACAGTTGAAGTAGAAAATTCCAGGGTTCATGTGCCCAGAGTTCATACTTCTTAAGACTTTAGTAAGTGTAAGCTTTGACAAGACAGGGTTCGTGTATATTAAAGAAAATTTTTCAGATAGGAATATGGATAACTTTTCCAGGGTACTGGTATGGCAGGTCTCTCTGGCTTGCTGAGAAGCCTGGTGGGGGACTTCATCTGTCGTGCACCTCTAGTTTGGGGACCATCACCAGGGAAACGGCCCACTGAGCCAATGTGGGGTTTAGCTTTGGCTCAGCTGAAGAGGAAGTACTCTAACCAGATGTTGGGAAGGTTTCCCAGCACTCTTCCTGCTTGCAAAGTCAAGTTCAGACATGCACGTGTATCTGCAGGCAGGAGTGGGGGTGGGGGGAGCCAGGGAGAGTGAAATCCATCCAAGAAAACTCAGTCCTGGCAGAGGGGAGTTTGCTGTCTCCAAAAGTGTCTTATTCTCAGTGTGTGTGTGTTTGTGTGTGGTCATGGCTTCTTTAAGATGAAGCAGCAGTTTTTGACAGGGAAGTGGGAGGGCGACAGCACGCTAGAGGTTAAACTGGGATTTTGTTATCCCTTTTCACTCTCTTCCCAGGGTCTTTGATTTCCTGTGGGCCAAACCACTTGCCCTCCCTCCCTCTCTAAACTGCACCCTGGCCCAGCCTCCTCCCTTGACTGGGTAACATTTCACTTCCCTAACACAACTGCTTGTCCTCTGCACCTGAGGGGCCCCTGTGTCTTAACCCAGGGTGGAAGTGAAACTCCTCTCAACTGGCAGCCTCACAACTGCCAGTCAAGTCTGTTCTTCTGACCAGCCAGGGGGCCTGAGAAGTGGGCAAGTCAAAAGGTGTATTGTGTGAACTATACGTATGTGTCTTGTACGCCTGTTTTTCAAAGTGCTCCCCAGAACACTAATTCTTTGAGTTAATAATTAATGCTCCTAAGGGGAGAAAAGGGTTCTGTGGTCAAAGAAATTAAAAACCATTGTATTTTCTCTCTTTCCTGACCATAGGGTAATAATGCATGCTGGGGTAATAAAGGCCCTGAGGTCCAGAGTAGAGGAGACTTTTCAACATGATTTACCCTGATTTTTCCAAACTTATTTTGATAATAAGGAACTAGCACCAGGACCAGATCTGGAAGTCATATCTTCTGAGCATCCCTGACTAACTGGAAACTCATGTAGTCACTGCTTAAAAAGATTAATTTCCAAGACATGGTAGGAAGGAAGGGAGGAGGTAGAGGGAGTGAGGTATTCCAGGGTTCCATTTTGGCAGGTATAAATGTAGACACAAGAGTTGGCCAAGAGAGAAAGCAAAGACCCTGAGAGAAAGAACAAGAGCCTCTGCTTTCTGCCAGTTCTCAATACTCTCCAATACCACCTCCCTCTGGAGAAATCACTGGCCCCAAGCTAAACTTGACCAGTAGCTGGTCTTTGCACAAAATGGCCCCTGTTCGGAAGCTCCACCTTGCTGCTGAGATGAATGGTAGGTGGGTGGGAATTCCAAGGTTTTAGCGCCTTCTTTAGTGATTCCTGAGCCCACAGAGGTCTTGAAAAGACCAAACTGAAGAAATGCATCCAAAGTACCCTTGGCAAACAGTAGGGTGACAGTCACTGGCATTGGAGAAACTCAGTAAAGGAGGAGAGCCGGGTCTCCCTCTAGAGTCATGCCCAACAGACCAAAGGAAAAAATCAAAATAAAACAGAAGCAAAACAACAGCAGCTACAACAAACTCCCTTGTTGGTACTTATTTTAAAAATCTTATAAGTAAGGAATCCAAATAAGGTTTAGAACTGGTCAGGAAACTCCAGTAAAGGTAAGGTTTCCTTAGGTCAACCCGACCACAGTTAAAAATAACTCTACCCTTCTCCTCTACTTGGCCCCACTGACCCCTTATTGAAAGCCTTTTTCCAGTGCAACCACAAGCACCCTGAAAAGGACAGCCCAGCCACAAAGCAGACATGCTGCCCTCACCCCAGGGTGTCTCCTAAGAACAACAGCCGGAAACAAGCAGATGGCTGCACCTGCCCTGTGCTTATGGATTTTCTCCACGGACTCTGAAGGGAGCCGCCCAATGCAGCAAACAGCACAAACAACAGGAGCTTTGTGTCTTGCGAAGTGTTCCGTAACTGGAGCTCAGTCACACTCGGCTCTCCTGTGACATTTAGAGACGCTCAGTGGGGGAGTGGTTTGTCCTCTTATTGCACAGTCTTTTCCCAAAGCCCTGCTTATGAATTTAGTTGCTCAAGCACTGATAAAATGATAAAATGACAACGTCTTTATACAGGTGGGTGGGCGGAGGCAATATCTTAGGTGAGGACTGAGGTTATTATTAACATGGCAATGTCCATAGATTTCCTCTCAAAAGAAAAACCGAATTTGCTTCATGAGTCAGACAGCCCCTCCCTAGATCAAAGGTTATAGATTTTCCTGTAGAATTATAAGGAGCTAAGAGTCAGTAGGTAGTTGTAGTTCGGACAGGACCAGTTATATAATCTACACAGCCTGGTGCAATGAAAATTCTTGTTCCAAAAAAAAAAAAAAAAAAGGAAAAGAGTAGCTTTAAAAGATATTGATATACCAAATTTTTCCTTTTCTCTGCAGTCCCTCTTGACCTGTCATGGTGTTTTTATTTGCTTTAATCTTGCCCTCCTTTGGAAATCCTAGGAGGACAAGGGAGAACTTCATGAGCAACCCATGGCCCCACCTGTGACTCAGTGCATAAATGCATGTGACCCAGCAGCTATCAGAACGAGGCACAGTGCCCTGATCAGGGTTGGAGAAGTTGAGCCAGGCGTCTCCCCTTCTCGTGGGTCCATTGTGACCTCTGACCTGGGATACTGTAGGTCCCCCTGGTGGGCTAGTGGATCACCTTTACTGGGTTACCCACTGAATACACCGTGATACTGCCTTTCTTGTGCCCAAGACAGTGCCAGCTTTTCAAGCCCGACCTTGGGCACCTGTGCCCAGGTCCCCCTGGGGGTGAAGAGTGGCAGTGATTGAAGGGTGAGGATGGAGGAGGAGGTTAGGGATGCCAGAGGACAGAGGAGCAGGCAGGTCAGGAGCACTCTGTGCACAGTGGGGAGGCAGCAGAAGGAGGTCTGAGCCAAGACTCCACAGGCTCAGTGCATGCTCCATGACTCACTGGACTTAAAAAGCACAAACTAAGCTGAGTTTAGTCCTCAGAGGAAACAATTTTGAATGCCTTCCCACCCTAAGATTTTCACATATATATGTCACGCATATGACACATGCATGTAAGAATGATTTTTGTACTTCTTTATTTCATTTATTCAGCTTAGTTGAGAATAAAGTATGAGCCAGGTTGTAGCTCAGTGGTTGAGCGCTTGCCTCGCTGGGTTTGATCCTCAGCCCCACATAAAAAAATAAATAAATAAAACAAAGATATTGTTTCCATATACAACTACAAAAAAGTTAAAAAAGAAAAGCTAAAGTACTTTTCCTATTTAAAGCCTTTTAAGTGGAAGAAAAGAAGCCTAGGTGTTAGTAGTATTTCTCTCTGGGTCAAGGTGTAAAAGGTAATTTTTGTATCATTGCAGCTTTTTAAAAAATAATGAATATGGACACATGGATGACTTTTATAATAAGAAAAAAGTTTAAGTAATAAAATAAAGATGCTTTACCTGTTGGGAGAGTAGACTCTTCCTTGGACTTTTCTGATAAAACCAGTGTCATCTCTTTATTAACTTTTCTTAAGACCGCCTGGATCATATGAATTTCAATATTTTCCAGAAGTTTCTGAAGCTAAAGTAAGCATAGGTTGAGAGTCACTCCACATTAAGCTTATCCTCTGGACTCCCAAGTCCAAGTCCTGCAGGGGGGTTTTGAGTTCAGTTCTATCCCACAGTTATTTTCTCCCTGGGAAGAAGGAGGGGTTCTTTTCTTTGGCTTTGGGGGGTAGATACACCTCTGAGGAGACCAACATCTTTTTTTTTCTGGCCCACACCCTGGTTGATAGAACACAACCCTTTTTACCAGTTCTGCTAAATTGCAAAAAGCACCATACCAGAGACGACCTCATGTCTTTTGGGGTCTGTCAAGGTGGCCATAAATGTTGTGAGCTGTCACTTCTTTAAGAGCCACCTTCAGGTTTGAAACTCAACTTAGATACCAAGGAGGATTTCATGAGAAGACTGAATGCTCCACACACCATGAAGAGAAAACTCTGCTCCAATATACATGAGCCCTCACCCTGTCCACTAAGCTCATAAAGCCTGAAGTATATGTAAAACAACAACCCCCAGGGAAAAAGGGGAACAGCAACCCCCAAGGAGAAAGGAGGACAAGGAAAACAATGGGCTCTGGACTTTCACCATTTCCCATTCTGACTGCTCAACATACACGTTCTGCTACGATTAAATCTCTAATGATTAAGTTACACTAAACATTCTGTTATGATTAACTCTCACTAAAATCTGTAAAACTCAGGTACTTATTGTAACCAGTTGCTATTTTCTCTTCTGAAAATGTGCTCCTCAAATGCTTAATAAATCATTGCTGGTCCATCAAAGTCAAAAATAACCATTTCGGTTATTTTTGCTTTCAAAGTCCACCTGTTTCCTTGATAGAAGATTCCAGGTGCTGGAGAGGAACCAAGGTTTAGAAGGATAAGTCATGATGCGCTTGGCCCTGGGACATGTGTGGGGGCTGAATCTACCTTGTGGCTTAGTGAACATCCTTTCTGTGTTGACAGCCAAATAACCAGGGTCTCTGCTTGCCTGTCACAATAAGCCCCACCACAAGGAGCTTGGATCCCAGGATCAGGCCAAGCAAAGACATGGAAAAGACTTTTCCATATAGATCTCCCAACACACAGAGTGGGCTAGTGCACACGTTATATTTTCTTATTTTCAGAAAAAAAAAATTTACAAGGAACTATATTCAATATTTCATTTTTGCATGGACACTTGTGTGCTGGATGTTGTGTTTAAGATAGTACTGATTATGCTATTGACATTTCTTCTGAAGGTGCATCTCAATTGGAGAAAAGTCAAAATAATGAAAATCTAAACATATAGAACTGAGACATTAAGAGGTAGTTCTTTGCCTGATCAAAGCCCCCAGATACATTTATTTATTTACTCCCCTCTTTCCCACACCCTGAAGCCTGCCCAGTGATTTCCAAACTTTCAATTTACCCCGAACTTCTTAGAAAAAATACCATATGGGTATATCTGTAGTTTTACATGCTAATGCCAAAAAAGCAAGCTTTCCAAAGCAAATTTAAAATAGCTCCTGCATACCTGCTGAGTTTTTATTTCAATTTCTGAAGCTCCTTTGGGGGGAAGAATAGACTGGCTATTTATTATAAGTCTTTCAAATTCATCTTCTTTCCCCATCTGCCTAGCTATAGCTTTCATGCTGGGGTAGAGAATGTCAGCTCTATCAAAGAAGAGAGACAGAAATTAGCAAACAAACATTTTTTTTTTCTTATTCTGATTCTCTGGCAATTATTTTCATTCACTTTATATTTCCTGCCATCAGGTACAAACCTCCCAGTCCATTTACAGACACATCAACAACTAAATTCACCACTCCCTCAGTCAATATTAAATCCTGAGGTCTTTTCCCATTTGGGTACATATAATTTCAGTCCTCATTTTTCAAAATATTGACAAGGCTTCTCATCCCTTGGTTACCAGGAATACTGACTGTAATAACATCACCAGATAGATGATTTCCTCCGTGCCAAAGTGAAATCTTCTGAAGCTCAGGAAGGTCTGGGGTAGTGGATGGATGCTTGTTTGGTCATACCTGTGGCAGAAGCACGTGCCTTTCTTGCCTGTTAAGTCATCCCAGCCAAGGCCTACCGCCAAGGCCTGCACCACCTCGCACACCTACAGCTTCATGCTACATATCCATATTACACTCTGCCTTCAATGCCTCAAATGTGCACAGACTCTAATGGGGCCAAGAGAGAGGAGGAGTAACTAGCAGCAGCAGCAGCAGCAGCAGTTGTCCATCTAGGATACTATGAGCTAAAAAACCTAAGAGTCAGCACTGTGGGGTCACTTGATAAATACAATTTCCTAGGGACAGGTAAAAGATAGTGTAGCTCAGTGGAATCCAGCTCCATCCTTGAAGTTAATACAACCCAGCTTTTCCTCTACTGCACTGTCTGTTGAGAGTGTTGCCAGCTGCCATGGGCTCAACAGAGCTGGGTGTACTAGGATTCATGGACCAAATCTCATCTCCCCATCAAGAGGCCCTTGGGCTCTACTCACTGACGTGAATTTCTGCCTCAGCACACTCACTCATAAAGCTCCGAGTACTGTTTGTGGAAGGAGACGGAGCTGATGTCCTGGTCTCCCAGCTTGAGCCGGCCCCAGTGATCCTTCAGTACTTCCAGCTGCTTCCACAGCATCAGAAATGATCTCAGCAGAGCAAATGACGTCACCACATCGCACTGGCCCTCCAGCAGCTTGGAAATCTTTGGGCTGCTTTGAAATTGACTTTTGACTCCTGGCACTTTGGACCACTCTGGCTGAAAGCATTACAGAAATCCTTTGATGATGGTGGACAATACGGCTCAGCTTTTTACATGCAGCCCCATGCAAAACAAAATTTTTGTGGAGACTGTTCTCCTCATTTACAGGTCTGTAGCACATGTCAAGCAGAGTGAGGTTCAGAATCCTTCCTGAGCAGACAGTGTACAGAAAGGATTGAAATGTCTCACTGAGTTTCAGCTTTCAGATTGGGACTTGAACCATTTATTTAAAAAATTCTCTTACTTGCATATTAAGATTTTATTTGGCTTAAATAAAAACAACAGTGTTTCATGTTTAGCCTCTGCATTCTTGAAAGTGTTCACCACATTTGAGATTCAAGTCAACACCATGGTGGAGCAGTAATATAACTAACTTTTCATTGGGAATTTTACCCAAGTTATGAGCATGGAGATGGAAACTTAAGTTTATCCTATCTCCTGTTCCTTTTCCATTCTGTAAAAGAACATTAGATAGAGAATATTTCTTTTCATTTGAACGTATTACTCAATAGGCAATTTTACTTTAAAATGATGATTTGTTCATTTGTTCACAGATGCTTTCCTTCAGTATTTGTTGAAGGGCTGCTGTTGGTCCTGGAGGAAGGGAAGGGGGAAAGGTGTTAGGCCTCTGTTCTCCTGCAGTTAATGGAGTGAGGGGGCAGGGCCACGCCGAGAGGGGCAGATAAAATGGGGACCTCGGTGCAAGTCCTCAGGCTGACCACAATGTCTCAGTCACAGAAAAAGCAGCTTTCTTTCACAGACCAAATGGCAAATCCCATGATTTGAATCAGAGAACATTCAGGTGACAGTATCTTAGACACTCAAGTTTCCTGCCTAGGAACAGAAAGAGCAACCCAGAGTTGTTGGATCCTAGATCAGTGCTGTTCACATATCCAAAGAAAGGTGTGTCTGCCAAAAGAGGGTTGGTCAGAGTACCCAAAGGAGAATTGGCAAGGCAGACCCAGGAGAGACTGAGCTCCCACAGTTAGCTGGCAAGCCCTGAGGCTTGTGGCCTCCTAAGCAACCAGCTTGTCCACGGATTTCCAGATTTGTCTTATGCTCAAAATCCTTTCACCAAATAAAATCTTGGATAGTCGCCCAAAATATCCAACAGAACAAAGCTACAAACAGGGACACAGAGCGGGCAGACTAGAGACCTCATCATTAGCCCCATTTGCTCAAGAAGCCCCAAGGTGTCTCTGAGAAAATCAAGGGCTCCTTGGATTATACTTTAAATGACCTTGAGCTAATTCATCACCTTTGCTTTGAGGTTTTGGATACTGAAATCTGGAGAGATCACAGCATTGTTGTATAGCTGGGCCAGGATTACCCAGGAGTCCTGACTCACAAGGCAGTGTGGAGTCCAGTGCTTCTTAGTGTCTATAAATAGTTAAATACTCTTAAATAAAAATATAACATAAAATAAAATCTAATTAAAATTAATAATAATATTAAAGCAAGCCCACTTCTTTTTTTTTGTATTTATTTTTTAGTGGTAGTTAGACACAATACCTTTATTTTATTTATTTATTTTTATGAAATTATATGTACCCATTTGGGCACATATAATTTCAATCCTCATTTTTCAAAATAATGAATAGCCAGGATCAAACCCAGGATCTTGCATGTGCAAGGCAAGCGCTCTACCGCTGAGCCACAACCCCAGCCCCTAAAGCCCACTTCTTATTAAGAGTAAGTCGTTTCTATCTAAATGACTTTAAGGATGGGAGAAGGAAGAAGAGTCAGGATGGATAAAGAATAAAATGGAAAAGAGTAGGGAGTGTTAGGAAATGAAGGTAATCCATCAGAAACAGGGCCAGAAAATGGTAGATAGAGGGAGTGAAGGCCCCTGCATACTTCTTGATCTTGGCCTTAATTTTAGCACTCCTTGGTCTACACTCAGGTCTGCAAAGGATCCCTCTTGGTGAAACTTCTATTTCTGTTGTAGAATTTAGATGGCACACAGAAACCCGCCTTTCCCCACCCAAGTTTTAACTGAAAACGCATAAGAGAAAACAATCTCCTGGGAAGCTTCTAGAAAAGAATTTTCTTCTTGATAAAAGGAGAGCTCCTCAAGGAGAAAGTGTGTTTTCTCCTGTTTTTATCTTGCAAGGCCAAGGGAGACATTTTAAGTCCTTTGGTAGTGGCTGTACCAACCTGAACTGCTCTCTTCTAGTCTCCATTATGGAAGATCAATATTCTCTTATTTAAGTCATGGCTAGTGGGACAGATGCTATTGTGGCAGGGGCACTCTAATTGGCACAGAGGAGCATCAGTTCAAAGGTGGAGGATCAGAAAAAGTTTCCTAAAGAGAGTGGTTTGGAAGTTGAAATCTGAAGAATAAGGGGCTGATTAGGTGATGAGGTCAAAAGTCAGAAGAGAGGAGGTTTTCCACTGGAGAAGACCAGGATGCACGAAAGCACAGAAGAGAACATGGTGCATTTGACAAAATATAAGAGGCTAATGGTAGAAATACTGGCAGGAGCCAAGTCATGAAGTTCCAGTTAAGGTATGTGGACTCTACTGTCAGGGTATTCAAAAGCCACCAGATGGTTGTAAGGAGGAAAGTGACATAATTAGGTTTTTATTTTAAAATATTACCCTGGTAAGTGGGCATGGTGGTGCACACCTGTAATCCCAGTGGCTCAGGAGGCTGAGGAAGGAGGATGGCAAATTCAAAGCCAGCCTCAGCAACTTAGCGAGGCTCTCAGCAATTTAGCAATATCCTGTCTCAAAATAAAAAAAAATAATTTAAAAAAAGTCTAAGGATGTGGCTCATTGGCTAAGCACCCCTGGGAAAATCTGCAG